GCAAATCCACAAAACAGACCAGACTTACTGGTCTGAGAGAGACTGGAAGGACCCCCGAAACTATGGTCCTGGACCCTCTGCTAATAAGAGCAGTCACACAGCTGGTGATGCTGAAAAATTATTGCTCTTGCAGTAGACTGCCAAATTTTCCAAATATAACTACTAAAATTTTATAATAAAATTGTAACTAATTAAAAATTCTTCTATGAAACTTCTGTATTCTAAAAGTCCACTCACTCTAATTCCATGATGGTGATGTGAGCCTCTACCTCATCTGATTTTAACACTCAATCAACTATTCAGCATTTGGCCAAAATGTGAATTAAATGCATCTTTAGGGGAAATAAAAAAAAAAAAGGGACTAAGAAAAGGAAGGAAAAGAAAACATGATACTAGAAGAAAATATATGCTAATTGTTTCATAAACCTCTGAGTGGAGAAACCCCTTCTAACTGTCACTGAAGCCCTGCAGAAGCCATAAAAGAAAACGGATATATTTGACTACACAGAAATAAAATAACTTCTGCACAGTGAAACATATGATAAGCAAAGCTGGAAGACAAATGGCAAACTGAGAAAATGTTTTCAACTAATATCACAAGTACATAAAAATCCCCCAGAACTCAATGAAACAAAACCCCAATAACCCAATTTTAAAATAGGGAAAGATAAACAGAGTTCATAGACAAGGAACTGAAACAGATCTTAAATATATAAACAGGAACTCAGGGCCACTCTTAATTCAGAAACACACCTATTTCTCACCTATTAGATTGCCAGAAATCCAAAGTTTGAAAATCACTGTGTTAATGAGGCTACCTAAAAACAGAGACTCACATACATAGCTAGTGGCAATACAAACGGGCACAAACCTACAGAGAGCCAGTCAGCATAACTATCAATATCGCACATGCACATACCCTTTGACTCAGCATGTCACTCCTGGGAATTTATCCTACAGAGATACATCTGAGCAAGGGTACGGTAATCACGAAAGCAAAGCTAATCATTGCAAAAGAATAGAAACACAGCACACAATCCACCAACTGAAAACCAAAACCAAACCCACTGCCATCGAGTTGATTCCAACTCATGGCAACCCTGTGTATTACAGAGTAGAACTTTTCCATAGGGTTTCCTCGTCTATAATCTTTACAGAGGCAGATTGCCGTGACTTTTTTGCGGCATAAGGACAAATACGTTTAACTGGTGTCCCAGAAAGAATGGAGAGAGAGAATGTGGCAGAAAAAAATGCTTGAAGAAATAATGATCAAAGTTAAATCTGGTGAAAGACATAAACATACAGACTCAAGAAGTTCAGCAGACCCCTATCAAGATAAATACAAATAATACCAGATCTAGCAAATCATAATGAAACTGCAGAAAAACAAAAATAAAGAGACAATGCTGAGAGCAGCCAGTACATGCAGGAGAATGACTAGCCCAATGACCACTAACCTCTGATCAGAAACAAGAAGACCAGGAGACAGTGGAACCACATCGTTAAAGTGCTGAAAGAAGCAATAACTGTCAATCCAGAATTCCAGTGAAAGTATTTGTAAGAATGAAGGCAATGGATTATCTAATACAATAACAAAAGCACAAACAGCAAAAGACAAAATAAATAAATGAGACCTCTTAAAAATCAAAAACTTTCGTTCATCAAAAGACTTTACCAAAAAAGAGAAAAGGCAAGCTACTGACAGGAAGAATATTTTTGGAAACCATATATCCAACAAGAATTTAATAACCAAAATATACATATAACTTCAAAAATTTAAAACAAAAAGACAACCCAATCATAAAATGAGCAAAGGAGCTGAATAGGCATTTCATCAAAGAGGACATTCAAACAGCCACCAAATACATGAAAAGATGCTCAATGTCGTTAGCCATCAGAGATGCAAATCAAAACCACTATGAGATGCCATTTCACTCCCGCTAGGATGGCTAAGATAAAAAAACAAAAAAACAGAATATAACAAATGTTGGCGAGGATGTGAGGAAATTGGAATGCTTATCAATTACTGGTGGGAAGGCAAAATGGTATAGCCTTTGCGGAAAACAGTGTGGCAGTTCCTCAAAAAGCTAAAAATAGAACTACCATATGACCCAGCAATTCCACTCCTAGGTATATCCCCAAAAGACTTGAAAGCAGACTCAAAAAGAGACTTGCAAGCAATGTTCACTGCAGTGCTAGTCACAACAGCCAAAAGGTGGAAACAACCTAAAAGCTCATCAACAAAGGAATGGAAAACAAAATGTAGTACCACACATATACAATGGGAATACTCCTCAGCCAACAGGAGAAATGAAGTCTTGATACATGCTACAGTATGGATGGAGCTTGAAGACATCATGCTGAGTGAAATAAGCCAATCACAGAAGGACAAATATTGTATGATCTCACTTATATAAAAAGACAAGAAAAGGCAAATGTACAGAAACCGAAGTTTATTAGTAGTTACCAGGGGTGGGAAGGAAAGGGAAAAGCGGAGTTAACAGTAATGGAAAAATCACATTGATTAAGGGTAGGGTTGCACAGCAGATTATTGTAACTGACGTTAATAAGTTGCACACCTGTTACAAGCTGAATAGGCAAAAAAAGAATACAGACAAAATAAAGAAATTTTCAGATTAAAAAAAAAAAAAAGGAGAATTAATTGCCAGCAGACCTGAACAAGAAATACTGAAGGAAGTCCTTCAAGCTGAAGGGAAATGATACCAGAAGGAAATTGGGATCTTCAGAAAGGAATGAAGTGTACCAGAAGTGGTAAATACGTGGACAAATATAGAAGACTATCTTTTTACCCCCTTAATTTCTTTAAAATGCATGTGACATCTTAAAGCAAAAAATTTAACATATTGTGGAGTTCTTAGCATTTGTAGATATACTGACAACTAGAGCATAGAATGGAAAAGGTAAATGAAAATATAAGGTTGAAAGGCTGTTAACAATTTGCAAGAAGTGATACAATATCAACACTAAGTAGACCGAAAAATAGAGGGTATACAGTAGATTCTCCTTATTCACAGTAGTTATGTTCTATAATGTTGCCTGGAATACCAAATTAGCAAGTACTGAACCATTCAGTGCTCTTAGGGGAAATACAGGCTAGGTTCCTGTGAGCTTACAGTCACAACCTTTTCATCTAGCGATCAATACATAACTTTGTTTGATGTGTGCTTCTGTTTAAAGACATCTTATTTAGTATCTATTGTTAAGTCATTAACACTGAACTCAAGGGCTGGCAGCACTGTAACTCAGGCCTGAACGAAGTTTATCAAACACACATATTTTCTCCATAAAGCATACCACAGCCTTCTTGTGCTTCGGGACACCAGACAGCACTTTAGCCCTATTACTGGGGGCCATTTTAAACAGAAATCACCAATGAAATGCACAAAAATGAGAAAAACATGGCACTAAATAAACTGTAAAAAGAAAAGGACACTTGTTTACAGTCGGAGAGCTGAAACAAGAAGGCAGAGTCTCGCTGCGTTTGACTTCAGCTGGGAATGTGTGCATCAAGCGACTGTTTTTCATCGCTCTGTGAGTGTCGTGAATGACCGCAAAAGCGCCAGAGTAGTGACCTGGGGGCTACGAACGCATTTTAGCGTAAGCATTGACTATACATTGTAATCCCTAAAGCGACCACTAGAAAAATAACGCAAGGAACTCTGGGGACAATGAAAACATTCCGTATCTTGATGTTAGTATGGGAAACATGAATGTATGCAGTTGTCAAAACTCCTCTAACTGCATACTTAAGATCTGCGCATTTCACTGCATATATATCTAAATAAAACATTACATATGTTTTTTTTTTAAGCGCCTGGTTCAGAGTAATTATTCAATAAATGTTAGCTATCATTATTATTTTGCTAAACCACAGAACATCAGTTTAAGAAATACTGTTCCTTGAACCTGCATCTTTCCTTCCTACCTTAGGGCCTTAGCACATGCTCTTCCTTCTGTCTGGAATGCTTTCACCATCTACTTTTCCACTGGATAATGCCTATTCAACCCTCTGACCTCAGCCTAACTAGCATTTCCTCTGGGAAGCCTTGCTTGACATTCTCCCACCAACAGCCAAGCAATTACATGCCCCGTAGCACCCCGGACTTCTAGCACTTATTTACCTATTGTTCATTTCCCCCGTGTAAGCTTCATAAGGGCACTGGTTTGTCTGCTCGCTGCTGGATTCTCTAAACTCAACACAGGTAACTAGTTACTGGGCAAAGAGTAAAGACAAAAGACTCCAAAACCGCCCTGAAACTACTGTCCTGAGGTAAACTTTAAAACAAACCCAAAATATCCCCTGAAGTCTTCTTAAGACCAAACAATAGTTAGCTTACCTAATAAAGAATGTCGGCCTTGAGCACTGTGCTTTTTTAAGATCTACCTATATAGGATCAAACTGACAACAGCAACTTGAAAGATTAGACAGGAACCTTAGAGGGCAGGGAGTTTATGTTACTGGGGGAAGAACAACTCAGCAAAAGAGACTGAGAATGGGTACACAACTCAAAGTGTGGGGATACGTGCCATTGAAATATGGCTACACCAGTGACAACTTCAGCCCCTCAAAGGCCCATATGCTGCACACAGCATGTTGAGACTTGTCACGACTTGTTTTTCCAAAACCTACTGTCCCGTTACTGATTGGTTTGTTTACCTGAAGTCCATTCTCCCTTGCCTGAAACTTACTGTTATTCACCCAAAGCCCATTGTTCTGTGATTTGATTCACTACTTGCTGTATTGACTATAAATAAACTCCTGGGACTGAAGCCAGGGTCGACTCTTTGGAGTGACCCTCCTTGGCCCCACTTCTCTGTAAGAGTTGTGTAGTTGGCTACCATTGCCGTTCCGACATCAAAGAACGTAATCGCTGTCACTGAATTGTACATGTAGAAACTGCTGAATCGGTGTATGTTTTGCTGTGTACATTCGCAACAGCAATAACTAAATAAAACTGGTTTTCTCCTTCCCAACGTACCGTTTTGCTCTCTCCAGGTCGTCATTGGCTTGCTCCAGCTCTCTGATGTATTTCTGCAACTGGTCTTTAATTGCTTTCGTCTGTGCGAGGTCATCCTCCAAGGCCGAGATCTGCCGGTAGCCTTCAGAATGCTGCATTTCAAACTTCTCCTGGAGGATAAAAGTGAAACCGAGTGAATGATTTCAGACTTCGCGGAGCTGTATTTCTCTCTTCCCCGTCGTCTCCTTACAAACACTCAGTTAATCCTGGAGCTTATATACTCCTGCTGTAATGGACATTTGTCAGTTTTAGCCACTGAGCACCCACTGCTCCTGCCCACACACATACCCCGCCAGCACCCTGATTTCTTTAGGGAATTTCTCTCTCCCTCACTGGTGAGTCTTTATGGGGCCACTCCTCCATCACACATGCTGAAGAGACCCCAGACTTCCTTTCCTGGCCTCCCACCACAGCCAGGAAGCAACCCTAAGCTCAGTCAACAGAACCTTCTCTCCTCAGACTTGGAATCTCGAGTGAGTGACGGGGAAAATGGAGGGATAACAGGTGGCAGTCATTCAAACCAGTCTCGTCCTGACCAACTGTTCCAACTATGTGTCCGTGTGCTTCCTGTCTGCAGCCCTCCCAGCACCTTGTTTCCTGCCCACTCCCAAGCCTGGTCCCCACAGCCTCTGGGTGACTGAGGAAGCACCCAACTATCTTCACTAGATCATTTTGTTTGGTGTCCAGAGTCTGTTTCTGTGACTTGCACCAAGAACCCGGCCAAAGAAAGCCACATACACCTCTCCAAGCCTCATCCATGAGGGCAATAATGATGTACTGCAGACGATTATCACTGAATTACAAAGACTTTGGTTGCTTGTACCTCACGTACTTAGTTTGACAACTGCTCTTTTTGATTCAGGATACTCCCTTACAACATGGGGGATTTACAAGGAACTTTTTGACCTCTAGGTTATTTAAAAACAAAAAAAAATAGAGGAGGAGGGAAGAAACTTATTACCAAAGGAAGCTTAATATAATTTGAATAGTACTTTCCAAAGGCCAGGAATAGTCCAGACGGTTTCTCAATGATTTGTGGCTGCCTATAGGGTCGCTATGAGTCAGAATCCATTTGACGGCAACAGGTTTGTTTTTTGTTTTTTTTTATTGTTGCAGCTAACATTTATTGCACGCTTACTCTGTGCCAGCCTCCAAGCTAAACACACTACATCTGTAATATCATTTAATCCCATTTCAGAGATGTGGAAACCGAGGCTCGGTTGCTTAGTTAGCCCAAAGTCAACTGCTAGCAAATGACTAGACTAAGATCAAACCCCAGCTACCTGAGCCCATGCTCTTAAAATATTTATGCTAACCTGCCCTAAAACCATTTCCATTCAGGCCACATAGGTATTGAAAACACACTCTTTCAATTCTGCTCCTGGTCTTCTTTCAAATTACTTTGCTTCATCAAACACCTTTCCTAGAGTCTACAAATATAAAACACTCACTTCCCAAAGGAAAAAGCTGAGGGTTTAATTTGAAAGTTAAAAAAAAAAAAGGAAACCTCTTCTTTCCTGCACCTTGTAAACAAAGGTGTTGTTAGAAACAGTCTGGATGCACTGGGGTGATGTCACCATGGCTAGGCCGGAGAGGCGTGGTGAGAGTCACCGTGAAAGAATGTCTGAGAACAAACAGATTACTGACAGGGTGAGCACAGGAGGCCATCCTGCACCCCCAGGCTGCTGGGTCCCTGTTGGTGCTCAGTTTCCTGGCTGTGAGCAGAACGTCTCCGCTTGGGCAAGCAGAGGCCGACCAGCCAGGGAGGCTGCACAGCAAACTCCCAGGTGTGGCTGTGATCACCTCACACCCTTGATTTGGAGGCATCTCCAGATAAAACAGGATACAGGCTCCTAGACCATTCACCTAAATTTAAATGCAGGTTCCAAGAGGATGCAGTTAACGGGCTTCTAGGCCTGCATGTGGACTCAAATGATCCCCTTTCAACTTGGGGACATGAAAAGCTGTTGCTGAAATGCTGTGCTTTCATTTGGGGCTAATTATAATAAGATGTCAGCTGATGGAAGTATCAATAGACACTCTGTTTGATGCCTTACAAGCTTTCTTATTCAACGGGTGATGAATAAGCCAGTTGGCATGAAGTCTATCTGAGCTGAATATGTTTCTCTTAGGTGACTAACAAATATGTGCTGGTGGCAGTGTACTCTTTATTCCAAGATATTTCCTCCCCCTGCCCTTTGCTCTGGGCTGCACGCATCTGCCAGGTGGTTGTAGTGAAGGTCTTCTGCAGGCTCTAGGGTTCAGGCTTAAAGCAGTTCATTACTTAGTAACTGCTTGCCACTTATTCAGCATCCATTAAGAGCATCCTATCCTCTCTAAGCTGTCAATCACACCACTGACCTTCATCCCACACAGCTTTCCATCACTGCGTTCCCTCAATTTGAGGCCTAGGATTCCTCATAGCCCATAGCAGGGTCAAATTCTCGTGCCTGCAGGGGTCAGGCTGATAACAAAATAAGTGAAGTGAGCCAGGTGCTGGGGTAAGGACAGCAAGGGGCTGTCAGAGGCCGCAGTGTCAGGGAGGTGAGCGAGGGAGGGGACAGTGGGGACTGTGTCAAACGAGAGGACACTTGCTCTGTCTCAGCCACCACTACTCAACATTGTATGGCTGGGGAAGACTGCTGTCTGGTGTGGCCAGCTCTTCCGATTCTCACGGGAAGTCAGAAATGCAGATTTTTAAGGGAAACCTCACAACTTTTAAATGTTGATATTAAACATTAAAAGTAAAAAAACAGTGAAGATGTAAATTTTACTATCAAAAGAAAAAACTAACCACTGCGCGCCAGTTAACGACAGGCAGGCTGAAGTATGCAGGGGGATTACACAGATGTCTCGACAGCAGCTAACAATAACAACTGCACACAGATGTCTGCAATTTAGTTTGAAATATATCAAGAAAAAACGACGGACTGATGGATGGACAGATACATAATAAAAAGTAAGTACAGTGAATGCTAGTGGTGAAGCTGAGGGGGTGAATATACAGGTGTTCATGGTAAAATTCTTTCAACTTTGCTGTGTGCTTGAAGACTCTCGTAATAAAACGTTGAAAAGAAAAGCCATTAAAAAGACAGTAAGGTCGGTTCACAGGCCAGAGCGACCCGTGGATGGCCAGTTTGTGAACGCTGGCCTACAACATCAGGTCGGAACGCCGCCATCCAGCTTTCCGGGTTTTCCTCACCCCTCCCCACTTCCCAATCCTCAGTCCTTCCGCGGGGCCCACATCTCCCCATGCGCTAGTGAAGCCCGACTTCCTGAGGCCACTTAGCACTCATTCCTGTCCATGTCTGAGACTGGTCCAGATTAACTCTTCAACGTCCAGGCACCAAACTGCTGATCCCCTCTCACACATGCCCCTCACTTTCACACGCCAGCTCGAGTTCCCACATCTCCTCCAGAAAGCCTTCTCCAAGCCGGGCAGCTCACTCTCTCTGAAGGATTCACGGTCAGGACTACGTCATTTAGCCTCACTTCCTGTGAGGTGGTCTTAGGTCTGTTTTCCCACGGCTCCTTTGGTATTTCTACCACACCCAGTCCCAGGTAGCCACGGCAGGGCCTTGCTCTTTCCCCCGGCTGCAAATCAAAAGTCACCTGGGAGCTTTGTTTAAAAAATAAAAAAGAGAGAGGCATTCAGACCTTGCCAGGGCCCCACCGAGACTTACTGAGAATCAGAATGGGGGAGGGGCGACTCAGGCACATCTGATGTTCATGAAGCTGGCCAGGTGCTCCTGGCTGGAGCAAGGCTGACAGCCACGTTTTCTAGGGCGCAATGCTGCTTAGTGATCAGCTGCTAAACCCTAGAGAACATATAAAGGGTCCAGTCTTTACCTTCAGAGCAGAGGTTCTCTAGACCCTTGGCAATGTCTGAACGCATTTTTGGTTGCCACAACTGGGATTAAAAAAAAAAAAAAAAAAACCAATCCCGTTGCCAACGAGTTGATTCCAGCTCATAGCAACCCTACAGGACAGAGCAGAACTGCCCCACAGCGTTTCCAAGGAGCGCCTGGTGGATTCAAACTGCCGACCTTTTGGTTACCAGCCGAAGCACTTAACCACTACACCATGATAGGGGGTGCTATTGACATCTAGTAGGTAAAGGCTAGGGATGCTACTAAACATCTTAGAATGCACAAGACAGCCCTCTAAAATGGAGAGTGCTCCAGTCACAAATGTGAATAAATGCTGAGAAACCTGCTCTAGACCAGCACTGTCCAACATAGCTTTCTGGGATAATGGAAATGTTCTATAATCCCTCGGTCCCATGCCGATACCCACTCGCCACATGTGGCTACTGAGCACCTAAAATGTGGCTAGTGCGACTGAGAAACTAAATTTTCGATTTATGTAAATTTAATTAAATTTAAGTTTAAAAACCCCTACAATGATCAACAATTCTAGTAACATTCCATACTCTGAAAATGCCTGCCTTCCACTTACCTTGTAGACAAAGCTGCGGCAACACGTGCGTGACTTGCTTCTCACAGCCCCTGCCATCACAGGCTGTAAAGAGCCCGACTCCCACCTCCATCCACCACCCTGTAGGTGGGAGTGAGCCCAGAGGCACAGCCCCTCCCTCTACAGAGCTGTCCGACCACAGCGCACGTCCATGGTGGAAACCTGTCTCTGCCTGCGTCCACTGCCTTCTGCCCCCTCACCTTGATGCTTTCTAGCTCCAACCGGAGGCGGTTATTTTCTGACAGGAGGTCCCTGTTCCTGGTTTCCATTTGTTGCAGCTGTGTCTCCAATTCAGCTTCATATTCTCGGCTTCCCTCTTGGAATTCTCGCAGTTCTTCTTGAGTATTCTCTGCCCTATAGCAGAATTCCCAAACATAAAATCATTTATTGAGTACTTAGGTGTGCTGGGCAACGTGCCTCTAATGTGGATCATCTCTTCATTCAACTACCTTCTGAGGCTGAAACCATCCATCATCATCCCCATTTTACAGATGAGAAGGTGAGGCTGAGACAAGATGACTGACTTGTCTAAAGATCACACAAGTAGTAGGAAACAGAGTTGGGACCTAAACCCAGTTTTGCCTGACTCCAAAGCCATTTCTTAACCAATTCACTATTCATTAATTTATTCATTCAACATACACTTTTTGAGCCCAATATGTAGTAAACACACTTTGGATTTTGCATCCTCTGCAGATTTTTTTTAAAGTAAAAAGCCAGTTGCTGTCAATGCCGACTTATGGCAACCCAACATGTGTTAGTGTAGAACTGTGCTCTATAGGGATTTCAATGGCTGATTTTCCAAAAGCAGATCACCAGGATTTTCTTCCAAGGTGCCTCTGGGTGGACTTGAACCTCCAACCTTTTTAGCTAACAGCCAAGCACATAACCATTTGCACCATCCCAGAACTCCTTATTCATAATTAAATCTCTAGAAATAAGAAATAATCTAAATGTTCACTTATTATATCACTAGAATCTGCTGCCCATCCCAAGCCCTCATTTCTAGTTCCCTCTTTTTTAGTGAAAATATACACAGCAGAATATGCATCCATTCAACAATTTCTACACGTACATTTCAATGAAACTGGTTACATTCTTCACACGGTGTCATCATTCTCGCTATTTCTACCCATATTCTTTCACCACTATTGACTTATATTTACTATCCCCTAAACTTGTCATCTAGGAGCTCTGGTGGCACAGTGGTTAAAGTGCTTGGTAGCTAACCAAAAGGCTGGCAGTTCAAACCCACCAGCTGCTCCACAGGAGAAAGAAGTGGCAGTGTGCTTCTGTAAAGATTACAGCCTTGGAAACCCTATGGGGCAGTTCTACTCTGTCCTACAGAGTCACTATGAGTCAGAATCGACTCAATGGCAGTGGGTAAACTTCTCATCTAAGGAGCCCTAGTGGCGCAGTGGTTAAGCATTTGGCTGCTAACGGAAAGGTTGGTGGTTCGAACCCACCAGCTGCTCTGTGGGAGAAAGATGTGGCAGTCTGCTTCCCTAAAGACTACAGCCTTGGAAACCCTATGGGGAAGTTCTACCCTGTCCTATAGGGTCGCTATGAGTTGGAATTGACTCGACGGCAATGGATTTTCGTTTTAAACTTCTCATCTATGTTCTAGTTACTGTTGTCAATTTGATCTCATATAAATAATTTTTTAATTTGATCTCATGTAAATAATTCTTTAAAGGAATGCAATGCTCAAGCAAACATTTTTTACTAATTTAGCTACACTGTTGTTTAAAGACGACTTCAGGAGATAGCTTCAGTTCAAACTTTAAAGATTTTCTCAGGGCAATAGGTTCAGGGATTTCTCCATGGATCCAGTAGGTCTGGATTCTGTAAGAATTGGAAATGCTGTTCTACTTTTTTTCCCCTTTTGATCAGGATTCATCTACTGAGTCCTTGATCAAAATGTTTAGTGCTGGAAGCTGGGCACCATCCAGTTCTTCTGGTCTCATGACAAAGAAGACAGTAGTTCATGTAGGCAGTTAGACCTGCAATCCACTTCCTTCTCCTACTCCTGGTCACCTTCTTCCTCTGCTGCTCCAGGCTAATAGAGAATAACCATATCTTGGATGGCTGCTGGCAAGCTTTCAAGATCCCAGGCACTACTCACTGAACTAGGAGGTAGAACAGAAACTTTAAAAACGATGTTAGGCCAATTGACTAGACAGTCCCATGAAACCATGACTCTAATCCTTCGAACTAAGAGAACTAATCCCATGAGCCCATGAGGTGTTTGGTTGTACCTAAGTAGCATCAGCCAACTGCAGCCTCTTTTTTTTGGTTGCTGTTGCAAATTTATATATAATACAACATTAGCCGTTTTGCCCTTTTTCTGTTGTACAACGTAATGATACCAGTTACATCAGTCAAGTTGTATAACCATTACCCTTAATCAATGCCAATCTTCCCATCACCATGGACATATGCTCACTACCCAGAGAATGATTCCCTCTCTCCCTCCCCCTCCTGCCCTTGGTAACCACTAATGACCACTGGTGTCTCCATATTTACCTATTCTTGTCATTTCATATACAGGAGGTCATACAGTACACCTATGTTCACTGCAGCATTGTTCACAATAGCAAAATGGTGGAAACAATCCATATGCCCATCAAAAGACGAATGGATAAACAAAATGTGGTACGTACATAAAATGGAACACAATTCAGCAATGAAAAAAAAATGAAGTCCAGATACACGCTATAGCATGAATGAATCTCAAAGACATTACACTGAGTGGAATAAGTCAATCACAAATACTATACAACCTCACTTAAATGAAATGACAAAAATAGGTAAACACATAGAAACCATTTCTAGTTTGTTGATCCTGAAAATCCAAGGGTCTTTTTTTTTTTTTTTTATTGTACTTCAGGTGAAGGCTTATAGAACAAATAGTTTCTCATGAAACAGTAGTACACATATTGTTTTATGACATTGGTTAACAACCCCACAACATGTCAACCCTCTAACTTCTCAACCTTATTTTTGGTGAAAATACACATAGCCAAAGATACACCATTTCAAAAATGTCTACATGCACAGTTCAGTGACACTGACTATGCTCTTCGAATTGTGCTGTTACTCTCATTTAAGATGAAGGCTTATAGAACAAAGTAAGTTTCTCATTTAACAGTTACTACAAATGTTGCCCTATGACAGTGGTTAAGAATCTCACAACACATCAATACTATCCTTACTCAACCTTGGGTTCCCTATCACCAGCTTCCTTGTCCCCTTCTGCCTTCCGGTCAAGGGCCATTTTTTGATCCAGCCCCTGTTTACAGCCCCTCCCCCCACCAGAGGTGACCTCTGTCCTGACTTTGGAGACAACCATCTCCTCAGTTTGTTTTTTTTTCTTCTTTAGTTTTACTAACTCTGTGCACATTCCTAAACAACATGGTTGAGTTTCGCTTACTTTGAAATTTTTTTTAATTGTACTTTAGATGAAGCTTTACAGAACTAGCTTCTCATTGAACAGTTAGTACACATATTGTTTTATGACATTGGTTAACAACCCCAAGACATGTCAACACTCTCCCCTTCTTGACCTTGGGTTCCCTATTATTAGCTTTCCCGTCCCCTCCTGCCTTCTAGTCCTTGCCCTTGGGCTGTTGTGCCCCATTAGTCTTGTCTGTTTTATGGGGCTGTCTAATCTTTGGATGAAGGGTGAACCTCAGGAGTGACTTCATTACTGAGCTAAAAGGGTGTCCAGGGCCATACTCTCAGAGTTTCTCCAGTCTCTGTCAGGCCAGTAAGTCTGGTCTTTTTTTGTGTTAGAATTTTATTCTACATTTTTCTCCAGCTCTGTCTGGGACCCTCTGTTGTGATCCCTGTTAGAGCAGTCAGTGGTGGCAGCGAGGCACCATGTAGCTGTACTGGATTCAGTCTGATGGAGGCCGTGGTAGTTGTGGTCCATTAGTCCTTTGTTAATTGGCGGTTTAGATCAATGTAATCACATTCTATATATTCTTTTCATATCTGGTTTCTTTCACTCGACATTATGTTTTCTGAGATTCAACTATGCTACAGAATTCATTTTATTTTATTGCTGTATAGAATTCAGCCATATAAATATACTAAAATCTATTCATTTATTCTATTGATAAACCACCCAAACTTACTTTTCTTTTAAATAAAAATAACTTGATTATTTTTTCTGAAAATAAATAAGTCCAAGGGTCATTTTTTTAAAATACTAATTATCTTTAAGTCAAACTAAATATAAAGAAATTAGAAGGACTAGAATAAGACCTTCATGTATAGATTATAGAGTCCATGAGAGAGCAAAAGAAACAATGCTGAACACACGCATGCACAGCCACTACTCCCAGGTACGGGTACTAAAACACCAGTTGTGGTTGTTCCTTTCCAGCACCATCTATTTTCCAGGCACAGGGAAAAGTTCGTTCCCCGTACACTAAGGACTGACCAGATATGGAATCTGGGAACTGACAAAACCCTACCAGAAAATAAGACGGGAAGAAGCATAGTATCATGGCTAGGAGCACAGGCTTTGCAGTTCAAATTCTAGCTCTGCCACTTTCCAGCTTTGTGGCCTTGGGCATGGTTTCCTCATCTGTAAAATGAGGTGATAACAGTTTCTTCACAGGAGCTTGTGAGATTAACTTAGAATGTATGTCAAGCCCTGAATGGTGCCCAGCTTAAATGGTTGCTTCTATCATCACAGGAAGAAACAGCAGAGGGGACTTTGGAGAACTGACCTCTGCTTGTAGGTCATAGCCAGATCTTTCCAGTAGTTAGCTTCTTCCTCCTCAGAGCTGAAAGTCTTCTTTCCAGAGTCCTCCATTGTGAAACAGGGAAGAGATCTACTCTTCTTATGGCATGGTGTCTATGAGAAGAGGTTTTAAAATTATTACCCAAAAAACCTGTTGGTGTCGAGTCGATTCCAAGTCATAGTGACTCTATAGGACAGGGTAGAACTGCCCCCGTAGAGTTTCCAAGGCTGTAATTTTTCTGGAAGCAGACTGCTACATCTTTCTCCCCCGGAGCAGCTGGTGGGTTCAAACTGCTGACCTTTCAGTTAGCAGCCGAGCGCTTAACCAGTGTGCTAAATAGCTGTTCTTTAATGGAAAAAAAAAAAAATCCCCAAATGTTATGCTAGATTAAATGATAAAACATTGCCAAAAAGCTAAAACAAAACCCAAACAAAACACGGCCCATCACCTGTTATAAACTATGGATTAGTATCAAGGCTTATGTACACATCACTCCACAAATACTTACTAAGCAACTATTATAAAGCCCAGGGATCCAAATAAGATTGCCTCCAAGGTTCTCCCTCCCCGCAAGGGAGCTCTCAGTCTGGTGGGGGAGATATGAATAACAATGTAAATGATTATAAAACTACATGGTGAGTAGAGCAATAGGAATACCCACAGGACATTGACATACAGTAAATTGCACATATTTACAGCGTACAATTTGGTGAGGTTTAGCATATGTATACACCTGAGAAACCACAACCACAAGGAAGATAAACACGTCTATCACCTCACAGGTCCAGAACTCAACCTGTGTGAGTCCCTGGGTGGCTAGACTACGAACCGAAAGGTTTGCCATTCGAACACACCAAGAAGTGTCTCAAAAGAAAAGCCTGGTGAACTGCTTCTGAAAGGCTGCAGCCTTGAAAACCCTACGGAGTGCAGTCTGACTGCACACAAGGGGTTGCCGTCAGTCAAAACTTGCTCAACAGCAATAGGTTTGGTTTTTTTGAACCCAACCTGAGAGTCAAGGAAGGCTTCCTAGACAAGAGTGATGCCTTGAGCTGCAGCCTAGTGAGCCTGAATGCGAAGGCGGGTGAAAGGTGGGGAAAGCGCACGCTAGGCAGAGGGAGGAAGCGAGAGCAGTCAGGCCTGTGGGGCAGCCGGAGCAAGCCTGGCAGGTTGGGGTTTAAAGTTGAGGAGGGGAGAGGAAAGAGCCAGAGCTGGGCAGGTTCAAACAGAGGGGCTGAATCAATGAGGGCCGAGGGCCGTCTGACCCGCTGAGGAACTGAGCGGCATCGGGGAGCCACGGGAAAATGTTGAGGAGAGTGACATGCTGGGTTTTGCTTATATAGCTCACTCCAGGCAGTGGCTGGGCAGGGGAGGGACAAGGCTAAGGCTTTTGCAGCAATCCAGGAAAGAAAGGAAAGGGGCCTGAATTAGGAAGTAGAAATGTGGATGGAAGCAGAAGAAATGAATCCCAAAAGTATTTAGGAGACAAAACTACCAGGATCTGGTGATGTATTACATTTGGGGGGAGAAGGACAAAAAAGAGGCAAGGGCATCTCCTGGGGTTCTAGCTTAGGTAACTGGGTGCACCACCCCATCCCCATCCCCAGGGATGAAGCATATCAGAAGGAAAACCAATGAGGGGAAGATAATGAACCTAGCTCTGGACATTTTTAGCGTGACATGCCCACAGCACAGCCAGATGTAGTATTTCATCTGAAACTCAGGAATGAAGTCTGGGCTAGCAATACAGATTTGGGAGTCCCAAGTTCAGTGATGGAACCATTTGAGAATTGAAAGAGAACTAATTTAAGGATCTGTGAGGAATGCCAATATTTGAAAGGTGGGCAGAGAAAGAAACAGCAATCAAAGCAGCAAATAAGAAACAGAGTGAGAGAGATGAGAACCAGGAAGAGAAAGCTACCCTGGGAGCTTCCAGGAGACAAAAGGGGAGCGTTTTACAGTATCAAGGATGCAGCCGAGAAACTGCTAAGATAAGAACTGGAAAGTATCTGTGAGACTTGGGGAAATGTCGGTCACTGGTGATCTGAGAAGAGCCCTGGTGGCATATGGTTAAGTGTTCGCCTGCTAACTGAAGGCTCGGCAGTTGGAACCCACCAGCGGCTCCAAAGGAGAAAGACGTGGCAGTCTGCTTCTGTAAAGATGACAGCCTTGGAAACCCTATGGGGCAGTTCTAGCCTGTCCTGTAGAGTGGCTATGAGCCAGAATTGACTCGACAGCAATGGGTTTGGGTTTGGGTTTGGTGATATGAGCAAGCATGGTTTCGACAGTGGAGCAGGGGAATAAACTGGGTGGAGGAGTAACTGGGAAGTGAGGAAGAGGAAGCAGACAGGATTCTGAAGAACTCAATGCGAGAAGAGAAGGGACAGAGGGTGGAGTGGTAAGGGCCTTGGGCTGCTGTGGCCTTCGAGATGTTTCAGAGCAGAAGTTAGGGAAGCAAATTTATATTAACAGCTGGGTTAATGGTTTGTAGACTCCCTGCAGATAGATACTCTTTGGGTGTTAATAGCTTATTTTCTGAGTTTTTGTTTGAGGCTCCAAGCTTGTCAAAAGTTCATTAAACCTGTTGCTATCGAGTTGATTCCACCTCATAGGACCCAAATAAGACCTATCCAGGGTCCTTCCCTCTCCTCAAAGGAGCTCACAGTCTGTGCATATTCATGAGGACAAAAGAATGAACATAACCTATCACTTTGCAAGATATAACCAACAGTTTTTAAGCAGCTGTATTTTTGGTTAAAAATACAAATTAGGCCAGATACGTTAATGTCAACATAGAAAAAAATCACCCACTTCCAGATCCCTGGAAGGGAGTCACCAAGAGTCAGAAACCACTCAAGGCACCTAACAACCACCATCACCCACTAAGCACAGCACTTATCGATCGCTCTATATTTGTTAGCACCTGTATTCACATTTTCTCTCCTAACTTTTCACCCTTCCCTAATTCTGAGAAAATATGCCATCCCACCACCCGCTCACCCATTCTGGGGAACAGTCTCTCTGAAAGTTTTATCAAAGCAGAGATGCTTTCTAGCTGTTGATTTGTTGATTTTTACAGTCTTGCATCCATTCTTCTATCTTCTATAACAGCACCCCAATATTCCCTTGGGAAAACCCATCCTACTCTCATTCCCTGCAGTTCAAATGGATCTGGCACCATCCTCTAGATCTGGGAGTTGATTTAAGACTATGAGAGCTGATCAATTCTCTTTCTTGGTTATACCAGTTAAAACTGGATTTATTCCACAAGAAAATCCTAATTAACATACGCAGTAAATGATCTCATTTGGTGAAAGTAAAGAAGGGCTGAGTACCTAGAGTGTCAATAGCAGTAATGAACATGGTGAGGGGCAGGGGTACACCTGAGGTTTGGGAAAAGATCATGTACAACATCCAACATAATCAGTCCCCTGCCTACTTCTCCAAATATTTCCTACCCTGCTGCCCCGCACTTGCGTATGCTGCAGCCACACTGCCTTCACTGTTTCATGAACACACGAAGCTTGCTCCCACCTCAGGGCCTTTGCACTTACTGTTCTCTCTGCCTGGAGTGCTTTTCCTCCAGATCTTTGCCCAGCAGGTTTCTTGCCATTCAGATCTACACTGAGATGTCTTCCCCAAAGAGATCTTATTTGAATATCCTATTGAATATTCCCTCTAGCCCTTCGTTATCACATTAACTGTTCTGTTTTATTCAAAGAACTTCATACTATTTCACCACTTTATGAGTTTTGTTTTTATCTTCCCCACTGGAACGTAAGTTTCTGGGTACAGGGACCTTCTCTGTCTTGCCTTTGTAATCCCCAATGCCTAGAACAGTACTTGGCATATAAAAAGCACTCAATAAATGCTTGTTGTTATTGTTAGCCACAATCAAGTCAGCCCCCAACTCATGGGGACCCCATGCACAATGGAAAGAAAACACTGCCTGGTCCTGCACCATCCCCATGATCGGCTGCAGATCAGACTATTGTGGTCCAGAGTTTTCACTGGCTTATTTTCAGAAGTAGATCTCCAGGCCTTTCTTCCCAGTTAATCTTAGTCTGGAAGCTCCACTGAAACTTATCTGGCATCATAGCAACATGCAAGTAAGCCTCCACTGATAGTCAGGTGGTGGCTGAGCATGAGATGCATTGGCTGGGAATTGAACCCAGGTCATCTCCCACAGGGAAGGCAAGAATTCTTCCACTGAACCACCACTGCCCCCAAATGCTTGTTGAGTAAATGAAAACCAAACCCACTGCTGTCGAGTTGATTCTGACTCAGAGAGACCCCACAGGACAGAGTAGAGCTGCCTCATAAGGTTTCCAAGGAGTGGCTGGTAGATTCGAACTGCCGACCTTCTGGTTAGCAGCTGAGCTCTTAACCACTGTGCCATCAGGGCTCCAAACGAAAACAGGGCGAGATAAGGATTGTTTACTAGGTGGAAGGGGATATGAGGTCAAGGAAAGGCAGGAAGGAGGGCCTGAGGAAAGAAAAAAGAGAAAGGTTAAAAGAGGAAAAAGGAAACAGACTCTTGGAAGGTTAGCTTATATCTGTAAATCCTTAACAAACTTATCAGAGAGAACTGATGGAGAAGGCTAGGATAGTGATTCCTAACTCTTTCTCCCCCAGCACCTGAGCAATATCTTGTTAATGAGAAAGGGTTAGAGGAGGATACTAGGTTGAGAGCTCCCTCTCCCAGGCTGACATGACAAAGAGTATCTGGTTGCGTTTCTAGAGTTTAATAACCCTCATAGCATACATTTATGACAGGTAACCTTTAGAAAAAACCCATTGATGGTGAGTCAGTTTCGACTCATAGCGACCCTATAGGACAGAAGAGAACTGCCCCATAGTTTCCAAGGAGCAGCTAGTGGATTTGAACTACTGACCTTTTGGTTAGCAGCCGAGCTCTTCACCACCACGCTACCAAGGCTCCAACCTTTAGAAAAGAGCTTCTTAAAACATGGTTATCTTGGCCAGTGAGGTTGAAAACTCAATCCCTAGAAAAGAAATGAATCAGATGTTTTGGAAGTGCTTCCATCTGGGTGAGGTTCTAATTACAACCAGGCTGATGGGAAGAATCTGGTTCTGGACTTCAGGGACTGGGGAAAAACTAAGCAGAGACCTGGACGTAGGTCACAGCCTGCAAAGAACAAAAACCACAGGCATGACATTTAAATCAAAAACCCTTGCATTTTAAAAACAACCCTCGGGGAAGAGAAAAAATGTGCTAGTGGCAAAGAAGGAAAAAGTAACAGCTGTACCTTACTTTGTTAAGAAACAGCGATCTCAAAAATTGAAGATTTTTCCTTCGCCATTTGAAAATGTCTCAGAAAGTTCTAGCACGCACAACTCTGTCTCAGGAAGGAGACAAAATGACTTGAAAACAGTCCCTTCTTCCAGCCTTACTTACTGAATTTCATCATCACCTTCTATTTGCTGTGTGCTGAGCACTTAACACAGTGTTTTCAAACATTATCCTCTTTAAGCCATCCAACTGTAAGAGTTGTAGGTAGGCAAGGCAATCACTCAGTTTCTTAGAAGTAGAAGCACTGTATGCCTTCATGAACGCAAGTGGGCAGCAGAGGCAAACCAGAACCCAAGCACAGGGGTCTCTGAACTCAAGTCCAATGTATTCCTGGGGTTGCAAACCAAGCAACTGGAGGTCACGCTCACACTTGCTCATTTTGTCTGTACTGTCTTTTAAAAGGCAGGTGTCAGTGCTTGGTCAGTATACAGCTTTTACACCATTTCAAAAAGAAGCTCCAGTGGCACAGTGGTTAAGCGCTTGGCTGCTAACTGAAAGGCTGACAGTTCGAGCCCACTAGCTGCTCAGCGGAAGAAAGATGTGGCAGTCTGCTTCTGAAAAGATTAAAAAAAAAAAACCCTTGCCATCAAGTCAATTCCGACTCATAGTGACCCTAAAGGACAGAGCAGAACTGCCCCAGAAGGTTTCCAAGGGGCGCTTGGTGGATTCGAATTGCCAACCTTTTGGTTAGCAGCCGTAGCTCTTAACCGCTACGCCACCAGGGTCTCCCCATAAAGATTACAGCCTTGGAAACCCTCTGAGGCAGTTCTACACTGTCCTGTAGGGTCTCTATGAGTCAGAACCGACTCGATGGCAATGGGCTTGGTTTTGGTCATCTCAAAAAGGGATGCTGCACGCATGTATTTTATCTGCAGTACCCCTGCTGGAATCTGGCCTCCTCGCTTGTGTTCTCAATACACCCTTCATGCCATCATGCCACAGCAGCTCTGTGGACGAATCTGATGGGCACCTCAAATATACCTGCTACAGTAGGCAAGGAAGAACAAGCGGTTCAAAAAGTACCTATTTTGCATAAATTAGATCTATACCTCCTACAAAAATGTCTCAACTTTTTTTTTTTCTTTTGCATGTTTTAAAAATCAGCCAATGAAAGCCCTATGGTCCCATCCCCTTGTGCATGGGGTCACCATGAGTCAGGGACCTCTCAAGGTGCCAACAACACACTATGATATAACCTAACAGAAAGTGTATCTAGCAACACACCTGAGACACACGCCTCCAGTTTGAAAACACTAAAGAAAACAAAGCAATCTCTTTCAGCTTTCCTCTGAGTGAAGAAAGCCAGCACAGCTGGACAGGAACAATACAAACATATAACCCAGCAGGAATTAATTCAACACCCTTCTCCACCCCAACCCCATATCCTTCCCAATGAAAACAAATGGAAGAGCCTGAGGGAAAGGGAAGGCGAGAAAGAAGTTGCCAAATGTCAGCACATGCTCCAACGATGTCTACGCCATGACGCAGGCTTTGCATTTTGCAGAAGTGACATCACTGGGGCAAATTCAGTCAAGAGTCAGCAAGTCTGGCTTCTGGCTTTGTGCTTTCAAAGTCTACTATGACCTACCTACCGAAAAAACTTAGGCAGGCATGCAAGGACATATGCTCAAGGATGTACAGCATCAATCACTAATGTAGAAAACTGGAGAGATCTCAATATCAACAGATGACTGATTAAACCCATGACTGGGAAACCATGTAGTTGTCAAAAAGAACAATTACTACAGACTAATGTGGAAGAAAATTCATAATATGTTAAGAAAGGAAAAAACTAAGTTGTAAGGTAGGTAGGGTATGATCCCCTTTTTGGTTACAAATACACCTCCCTCACTGTGTACAAGAATAGAAAAGGGTCTGGAAGGACACATCAGAATAAGGGTAAAGCAAGCACTGAGATGAGAACTTGTACTTGGACACACTTCTCCACCGTATAAACTTTTTTTTTTTTAATTGTGCTTTAGATGAAGGTTTACAGAGCAAATTAGTTTCTCATTAAACAATTAATACACATATTGTTTTGTGACATTGGCTGCCAACCCCATGACATGTCAACACTCTCCCCTTCTAGACTTTGGGTTCCCTAATACCAGCTTTCCTGTTCCCTTCTGCCTTCTCGTCCTTGCCCCTGGGTTGGTGTGCCCATTTAGTCTCGTTTTGTTTTATGGGCCTATCTAATCTTTGGCTGAAGGGTGAACCTCAGGAGTGGCTTCAGTACCGAGTTAAAAGGGTGTCCGGGGGCCATACTGTTGGGGTTTCTCCAGTCTTTGTCGGACCAGTAAGTCTGGTCTTTTTTTCTGAGTTAGCATTTTGTTCTACGTTTTTCTCCAGCTCTGTTGGAAACCCTCTATTGCGATCCCTGCCAGAGCAGTTGGTGGTGGTAGGCAGGCACCATCTACTTGTACCTGATTCAGTCTGGTGGAGGCTGTGGTCCACTAGTCCTTTGGACTAATCTTTCCCTTGTGTCTTTGGTTTTCTTCATTCTCCCTTAAACTATTTTTTTTAGTAAGCATATATTGCTTGTGAAATTTTAAAAAGCTTAAACTTGGGGGAAGAAAACAGTAGCTATTATTCCTGAATATTTTATTCTACTGAACCAAAATCCAAAGGAAAAAACTTTCTCACTGTGATTCCGCCCACCCAATCCCTTTTCAAATATTTCCCAAACACCTACTAAGTGCTAAGGACTGCTGAAAAAGGTAGGGAAAAAAAGCACCTACAACACAGTACTTGGTGAACTGCCAACACAGACTTTCTGAAAACAGAAGTGCTCATGTTAGGAAATAATCCTGTGAAGAAAGGGAGCGTAATCTCTCTGGCTCACACATTCTCAGGCAAAAGAACACACTTTGGAAACAAAAATAACATCGTAACAGAATAACGCAAGTTAAAGAATTATTATCCAAAATGGGATAAAATACACAAATCATAGGCCTCTGAGATTTCAGGGGCATGGACCATGGGCATCTAATTCTACACAAAAGACATATTAAGAGGGAAGGCTTAAGTTTCAAAACTGGTTGGATACCAAAGTGGCTGGAGGTGGAAAGCTAACCAGAGACTCTGGGAGTAGCTGGGATCCAATTACTCTTCAAAGCACTGTACCCTTGTCTTAAAATGCCATCCTATCCCAGAATACCCTGACAGACAAAACTAGCATCAAAAATGACAAAACTCAGCCCAGCACACAGTGCAAAGGCCACTTCTTTAGAAAAGGAGTTAAAAGGAGCCTCAGACTAAAAGTAGAAAGCAGGCACACCCTGGTACAAACCCTGAACAAAGAAATCAGGAAAGCTCAGGCCCTCAGGGGGCAGGGGACCAGAGCTATCTAGAGAAGATAGTGTAGCTTCCCAAAAGGCGGTGTCATGGTGATGGCAAGGCTTCCCATGACCTCAGAGAGGCAGGTAAGCCCAGCCACCTCATTCGAGCTGTAGAATAAGCATTTTTCATCCTTTATCCAATCCTTCCCCAAAGTGGTGTCAGGGAAATCTGAACCGTCCTGCAGCAGAGATTTGAGAAAAGCAGAGGGGTGGGGACTGTTCCAAACATCTTGCCGAAAAGAAGGCGCAGGGGAGGAGGAAGGTGTCTGGAAAGAGTCCCGCTGGGAGGGTGGAACAGGGTTGGAAGTGGGTGCGGAGGCGGGCAGCTCTGGACGCGAAGGAATGGGGGAGCTGATGGAAGCACGGGAAAGGAGGAGCAGAGAAGAAGGGTTCGCAGGGAGTGAAGGGCAGAAAATGGGGCGAGAAATTTGACGAGGGGAGACTAGGGAGAGAGGAGACCAAGTGCAAGAGTGACGGAGCCGGGCAGCGGGTTTCGGGACGAGGAGGCGAAATGAGGGAGGACGTCAAGGAGGGAGGGCAGGGCTGCGGGGTAGGGGGGAAAAAGGTTGGCAAGGGTGAACAGCAGGGTGCGAAGGACAGGAGGGCGGGAAGGCACAAAGGTAGGAAGGGGGCGCCAGGGAAGCCCGATTTTCCAGACCGGCGCCCAGGGACCAGCGGAGTACGGGCGGCGGGGGAGCGAGGTGCAAGAGAGGGGCGCGTCTGGGTCGCTGCAAGGCGGCGGCCAGCGGTCGGGAGAGCGCAGGCGGGCGCCAGGGCGGGGCAGAAGAGTTTCCCGGTGGCAGCTGGCGGTCCCCGGGAGGCCACCAGCCGACCCGGAGACAGCTCCGCACTTACCCGGCTCCGGAGCCGAGGACCCCAGAGCAGCTGAGAAGAGCTGTGCGGCAAGCTCTCCGGCCCCTGCCCCCGCCCCGGCCCTAGCGGCGGGCGGCCCCCATTGGCTGCCGCGCCACGGAACCGCGTCCGCCTCAGCCAATCAGCGCCGAGCAGCGCCGTTTGGAAACTTTTTCCCAGCTCCCGGTGCGCGGCTTGGCCACGCGGCGTCCTTGGGCGGGAGGAGTCCTGGGAAGTTCGGACGCCCTCCGAGGTCCTCCACGCTGGTCACCGCACACCCGGGGCATGGGATCGGGCGTGTGGGCCACGCACTTCTGGGAAAAAGCCGTCTTATTCCTGACACCGATTGCATTTTCCTTTTGGGGAACTGGCTGTTCTTGCAGCTTTCCTAAATCAGAGTGAAGGACAAGAATCCAGGCCGCTTAGTTTATTTTCATCAAAGGCAGCCAAATTTAGTTTGGGGGAGTTTTTCTCCTGGCTTTGAATCCTAGCTCTGCGCTCTGCAAGTTACTTAACCTTTCTGTAACTGAGTTTCCTCATCTGTAAAACGGGTTCATAATAGGATTCTACCTCATGATCATTTACTTAACGAATACATATTTTATATGCCAGGCACTGTCTTAAACGTTTTACAAACGCTAGGTTAACTCATTTAGTCCTCTGCACAACGCTAGGAGGTGGAATCCTATCATGAAGGAGCCTTGGTCATGCAGTGGTTAAGTGCTTGGCTGCTAACTGAAAGCTTGGCAGTTTGAACCCACGCAGTGGCTCTGCAGGACACCACCTAACAGCAGGTGTGTAAGGCCCAATGCTAACTTAACATGGTTTTCTTATTTAGTTCTCACAGCAGTGTATTGTTTGAATATTTATTGAGTACTTATGTACAAAGGAGCTCTGGCGGCACAGTGGTTAAGCGCTTGGCTGCTAACCAAAAGGCCAGCAGTTCAAATCCACCAGATGCTCCTTGGAAACTGTATGGGGCAGTTCTACTCTGTCCTATAGGGTCGCTATGAGTCGAAATCCACTTGATGGCAACCGGTTTAGGTACAAGGTATGGTCAGTAAGTAATAATTCAGACAAGATGCCTGTCCTCCACAGGTTTATTTTGTTAAGAGAGAAAGACGCTAAACCAGCAAACAGGAAAAGTAGTTTCAGCTATCAATGTGCTGTGACTGAAGTAAGGTCATGTGATAGAAAGGGGCTGGAGGAGGTCACTTCAGAAAGAAAGAGAGGGTAACCATGGAGCTGAGATTCAGATGGTGAAAACCTCAGGAAAGCACTTTTATTTCCCTGTTTTAAAGATGAGAAAACAAAGGTGCAGGAAGTTTAAATGAGTTGTCTAAGGGCTCACAACTAGTAAATAGCAGAATAAGGCTTCAAAACTGGGTCTGTTGGACTCCTACATCCACAGTCTTTACCACTATGTTAGAGGTGAAGAGATCTTAGCTACTCAGAGGCCTCCTGCCACACTCATAGAATCCCTCTGCTTCCCTGCCATGGTTAAGAATGATCTTTCTCTAATTTTACTTTGCCTCCTTGCTAGTTCCTGAAGACTCAGAGACACAAAAGAGAACCTACTACTGACATCAACAGGGTGAAGGATAGTACCAAAGGATTACTTAGGAAACTTCCTCTCTGGTCCCAAACACTACTAAACATCTGCTTGTCACTTTACTTGTTCTGATGTTTTTACCCTTAGAATTTCATTTCTCACTACTGTGAGGTTTCTGGGCAGGGAGTAATCACCCAGTTTACAGATGAGGAAACTGAAGCACAAATTGGTGAGGTGTCAGTCCTGACCAAATGGCATTGCTCAAGTTATTTGAAATATTTGGTTCTGAATTTCTTTTGTTTTCCATAAGGAAAAAGGTGAAGGGATTGAAATGATTATCACGGAAGTCCTATTTGGGAACAAGAGTTAGGGAAATGGGTTTGTCCTTGGGTAAAACCTTAAAAAAGAAAGGAAAATTTGGAGTAGTTTAAAACTTTTCCTCTTTTTTTTTTCAATTTGTCTTCTTCGTAGCTTTGAGCTTATAATGAATGAGCAGAGAGCTTGGTTTCTCTTTCTTGGGGTCCTTCCATCATACTTCATCAGTTCAAAACACTAAACCTAACATAGGTAGAAGTTGCTGGGGAAAAAACTCTTAGTACCAGCTTGGTTAATTCAGGAACTGAATTGAATGTACTTAAAGTAACCACTTAAACACCAAAAATAACTCTTTATCCTGATACCATAAATGTGAACATTATAATAATTTGGACAAAGAATAAATTTAAAAAATGTTACTTTTATTCTCTGATAAAAGTTTTCTCAGCAAAGAAATAGAACTAACTGGGGTTATACTTAATATTATCTCCGTAAGAAAAAATTTAGATCACTCTTCACAAATATCAAATTGTATTTCAAGTCATAACTATCTGCGTCTAGGGGCTAGTGTACTCTGCTTAGACTAGTTTTCTATCAAACAATACAATTACTTGCAATTCTGACTTTTCATCAACCTTCTGTTTAGTCGATCGGCTCACTTTTATTTACTGCATTTACCTGTTGAGACCTGGCGCAGTTCTGCACTTGGGAAAAAGCCAAGCAAAATAAAGCATAATGCAGAGTCTGCTCTCTTCTGTATTTTGTGGCTAAAAACTTAAATAAAAAAATCCACAACTGCCTTGATTCCTTTTGTGTGCCCCCCGCCCCCCGTAGTCCGTGGGTGATTTTTTGGAAGTGGATCGCCAGGCTTTCTTTCTGAGATGCCTCTGGGTGGATTAGAATTGCCAGCCTTTGGGTTAGCAACCAAGCACGTTAGCTGTTTGCACCACCCAAGGACTCCTTGTTTCCTTTTTTATATTTTTAGTTAATATGGTCTTTTGTGTTCAGAGACTTTCAACTAGAACAAAAAAGAGGAAGAAAAACACCTATAAAGAGAAGCATATTTGGTACTTTGAAAAAGACAAAACACTAGGAACAGGGTTGTTTTTCATCTATTCTAATTCCTACTTAGAAAATACTACCCACATACATATACAACGAAGATTTACTTAGCAGTAATAAATCTCTAAGCAGGCAAATGATGTGTGTACTTATCTGTCCCCTGGAAAACTAAATACAAGCAGAAACGACTCTTCAAGCTATGTGTTTGCTCATGCCCTCCATAATACTAGTCTACAGGGATATCTTAGCTTCCCCTGAAATTTCCCCCACCTAATGCGGATTGATTGCCTAATCAAAATTGCCTCACGCTGGCAAATTCGGAAAAAAAGTGTTGTCTTTTGGCAATTTCTACTTACTGATTCTTTTGCAAAGTTAATTTCTTTCTTGGCAAATTTCAGAGATAAACTTGTAAGTAGTCAGCTAGCACGTCCTAAACTGTGTCTAGATTTAGATAATAGCTGCTTTGTTTTTCTCCTGATTTGCAACAGGAAATAGTGGGCAGCTGGCACTTTCGGAAATGACCGTTTTGCTTACCGAGTCCTAAAAAACTTTTTATTTCAGATAAAAGTGAAGATTGCGAGATGTTACCAAAAAAAAAAAAAAGATGAGAAAGAAGGACAAGCACATAGCGTATCTAGCCACCTAAAACACAAAGCATTATTGGCTTCACAAGGTTTTTGAAACTATATTCTCCTTTCGGTTCGCCCAACTTGTCCTAGGAGTAGTTGTGTTCATCTGTAACCACTTCTGGACCGGGACTTCCAAAAATTACGGTTTCTTACTAGCGTTACCAAGGCCTCTTAATTACTGGTGACAATATTGTCTTTTTGCCATTAGGATCGCGACTTTCCGGCCGGCCCGCACTTCCTCGCAGGAGGCCTAGCGGGCAGGTTTCTCCCCACTTGCCACTAGGTCGCACTAGATTAAGCATGTTGTGGAATATGTACCATTAAAAAAATAATAATAAAGTATAACCATCACGTGACAAGACAGAATCAAGGAAAAAAATCCCAAGTGATTGAATTTTTCATCGGAATCCCGCTTAAATTGCCTTCCCTCAAAAGACCGAAAGAGTTGAATTGCATTAAGTATCCGTTGGCAGTTTTTTTCCTCCCGGTTCCACCTCACAAACTCCCTAATTCTCCGCTTTGAGGCTCCTTTCGACTACACAACGATAAGGCAGAAAGAAGGCCTCCTTAAACTGGTGTTTCTCGCCAAGTAAACCTGGGTCGCCCCCTGAAAAGGTCCTTATTTAGGGGTTTATCGGGAGGGGACTGAGCCTGACGAGGCTACAGGGCCGCGAGGCCCCGCCCCCCCCGGCGTTCCCAGCATGCCACGCGCGGGGAGGATGCAGCGGCGGGGGAGGGGTGGAGGAAGGGGCGGAGTGAAGGACGAGAAGGGCGTCGGTTTTGCGACAGGGGCGGTGCGGTGCGGAAGCGGAAGTGGAGGGTGCGCTTGGCGGCGGCGGCGGGAGCTGTGGAGTCGGGAATCAAAACAAAGGGCCTGGGAGGGCGGGGGGAAGGCGGTGGGGCCAGAATGTGAGCGGAGGTGGAGCTGGCGGCTGAGGTGAGTTTGCTGTCAGCGCTGAGAACTAGACCCTGACAGTCCCGCTACTCTGGGGCCACCGGAGCTAGAGGGAGACAGTATCCGTCCTTCCCCCGCCTATTGCTGGGGGAGGGGTGTGAGTCCTTGGGGAAAGTCTGGGAGTTGCCAAGTCGGACCCCCTAGGAGAGGAGTGGGTTGTCTCCGTTTCAGGTCCGTTTGTGACTGTCACTGCTGCGCCGCCTCTCCCCTTTGGGGGCATTTGGCTCCCCGCCCGCACCTGTCTCCCTGCTCCCTATGAGGCCTTTCAGGTGTGAGGAGCAGCGTTTCCAGAGGGGTGTGCACAATTGAAATGTTAAGATAGGGAGAAAGAAGAAGATGTTTTTGCAAAACCCCTGCGCATTTTGCATTCTTCTCGGTCTTTCAGCAACCCCCTAGGGGATATAGCCTTTGGGTTGACAGTGTTATCTTAGAGCTTCAGCCACTCCCACTACTAATTGTAACATGACGTCGTGATACACCTTTTAGAGTTTCCCAAACACTTTCCTGGTATTAGCAAGAGCTTTCCAGTTACATTTGTATTTTTTGGAGTTCCCAACATATCTGAGCAGTAAATGTTCTTCTGTTTTGCATGCAGGAAATTTGAGACGTAAATGGTATCTCTAAGCATTTATTGAGCTCTTCATTTGTTCAACAATTATTTGTTGATATATGCCAGGCACTGTACTAGGTGCAGGAGAATACGGTGGTGAGTAAGAAGACATGGTGCCTGGTGTCATGGAGTTTATTCTAGTGGGAGAGACAGATAATGAGAAAAGCAAACAAGTGAACGATAGTTTTAGGTAGAAGAGTTATTAAAAAAAATAATAAAACAGGGTAGTGGGATGGAACAGGCCGGGAGGGAAGGACTAGACTGACTGCTAAGGGAAGGCCACTTACCAAATGCTCTATATGGATTGTGTCATTTAATCCAAGTGACAGCCCTATGGGATGGGGTGGGGCGGGGGGGAGCTACTGTTATTTTTAGGATCCTTTTATGAATGGGATCTGAGGTTCAGATAGGTTGTGAGTTGCCCAAAGCTGCACAGATAGGAAGTGGTGGAATTGGGAACTCAGAAGCAGACAATCTGATGTCAAAGCCTGTGCTCTTGACCACTATCTCAATTGCTCGAAGACCTCTAGAGATAGTGACAGAAGTGATACTCCCATTCAAATCAAACTTACTCTGGTTACCTAAGTTGCTTAGTGGTGTTCCAGGACTATTTGGGAAAAGCTCAGGGTGCAGACTAAAAAGTTGCCAGCTAGTAAGTTGGTGTTTCCTGTTGTTTGTATTGAGCAATATACCAGCACCTTGGTGTGGTGGAAAGAGATGGGCAAGCCTGGTTCTACCCCCTTTCTAATTATGTGATTTTAGGCAGATTACAAAAATTCCTTAAGCTTTTCTGTTTTCTTCTTTGTAAAATGTGGCTAATTTCTCTCCTGTCTACCTCACAGCATTACTGAGAAAAGATAATTAGATAGATGAGCCCCATTGTCTGTTTTTTCTTTCTCTTCGTGGTACCCCCTGTGCCAAGCACACGGCCTGTTATATAGTATAGTAGATACTAAGTAAATATGTGCTGAAAGAGGGAATGAATAGTGTTAAATACAAATGCTTTGTAAATTATATTTTACTGTAAAATATTCACTTTCAGGATTTAGCCTTGAAAAAGGAGATGGAACTGGGTATATTGAAATTGCATATATCATGAACATCACAAATCATTTGATTTAGAGAGGAGCTTGTTGGCGAACGTAAGAACTATATTTAATAGGAAAAACAAGTACATAATTTACTGTCAGTGTGGCGCAGTTAACTTCAATTCTGTCTCCAAATTAATCCTCCAGCAGTGTGTAGTAAGTAAACATCATGCTTTATTCATTCTCTCCTTCAACAAATATTCGTTTAGTATCTTCTACGTAGCAGACCCTGTGCTTGGTACAGGGGATACAATGGTGGTAGGGGAAAAAAAAAAAAAACAGACAATGGAGTCTGTTTATCTAATTCTTTTTTTCTCAGTAATGTTGTGAATTAGAGAAATTAGCTACATTTTACATAGGAAGAAGTAGAAGCTTAATGAAGCTTTGTAACTTTGACAAATGTTTTCTGTAAAGGGCCGGATAGTAAATATTCTAGGCTTTGTGGACTGAATAGGCTCTGTTGCAGCTATTCAACTCTGCAATTATAACGCAAAAGCAGCCATAGATAGTACTTAAAGGAATGAATGTGGCTGTGTCCCCGTAAAACCTTATTTATAGATGCTGAAGTTTGAATTTCATATAATTTCCTGCATCATGAAATACTATTCTTCTGATTTTCTTTTAACCATTTAAAAATGTTATATGAATATATTCTTAGTTCACAGGCCATTTAAATACAGGCAGCAGGCCAGTTTTAACTCACAGGCCATGGCTTGCCAACCCCTGCTTTATGTGATCAGTTCTTCCATGTATACCTTAGATACAGTACTTGTATGGTTGTCTTTTCCCTCCCCCTCCCATGTTAAAGCTCTTGAAAAAGAGCATCTTATCAGCTGTATAGCTAAAAGAGATTGTCTTCTATGTGTCCAGATGAAATTTCTGAGAGAGAATGAGCGTTAGATTGGCCAGCTATAGGTAAGAGTAGATGGTCATTGGAGTATGATGGTGAGGACTTGGAAATGAGGTTCAGTTGTCTTCACCATTGGCAGACTGCCTCCACACTAAGTGGATATAGTTGATTTGATATACTTTTATTGTACTGTTTAAAACTTGTAAGAGTGTTTTGCTGGAGTAGATATAGCACGTCTGTGAGATTACTTGTTAGATTTTTGGCTGTATATCAGATTGTACTTTTGTAATAAGTAAACTAAGAATTTGATTCAATTTGCTCTGTAGCTGAATCAAATTCAGAGTCCACAGAGGTCACTCAGTTTAGACCTTTCATACTCATATCAAAGGCACAGTGGGATAGGTTACTGTAAAGTTGATTTAAATATTACATGGAATTGTTAATGAGGATATGGTAGTGGTTCTTTTACTAAAATTAGGACTCTATTCTGTTAACTGTTTGACTCCCATAAGTAGTCTTTAGGGTGAAATAACTGAAAAGAATTAAGAAAAATTATAGAAAAGGTCTACTCGGTCTGAAGAGATTGACTCCGGCCAAGGATATCACTCAGGGATGTGCAGGTAGCCAGGATTTATCTACTTCCCTCAAACATAGCTGTGTATAGAAAAGAAATAGGACTCATCCAGAGTTTGTTTTTATTTGAACAGTAATGGAACATGAAAAATGCCAAGATATGGATTTTTAAAAATTTGAATTGATAACAGTTAGTGTTCAAGCATAAACAGAGTCAGCTAAGTTTACCAAATTTTAGTAATCTGAAATGTGTTTTGATGTTCATTCTACTTTTGTTCATCAAGATTTGAATTGTTGGGAACCATTGCACCATAAACACAGTTGCAATCTCACATTTTAATAAGTTGTAAAATTTGTACTTATTCAAAAAAATAACCTTGAAAACTCACTTGTTCCCCACAGGGGGGAAGAATGAAAGAAAAGAAAGATGAAAGAATGTTGAACCACTTTGTATGGCTGTATGATGGAAGGAAACGGAACTGAGAACCCTTGCAGTAGAACACTTGGATGGCTTCAACAAGATAATGATGCTAAGCCATGGCTTTGGAAATTCTCTAATTGCTTTTCTCGTCCTGAGCAGACGTTGCCACTTAGTCCCCAAACGGTAACTATGTGCAAGACTAAGGCATAACAGATTCCTGTTTGGATAGATCAGAGTTGCATTTGGTCTGGGACACAGTCTCTCCCTGGAGGCTGGGCCAGGTTTTTCTACGTATTCTGCTTGTTTTGCCCCTTATAGAATATTATTACAATTCCTGACTTGACAAGTGTGTGGATTTTTAACTCCCATATATCCACTGTGAGTAACAGGTGCTTTAAATATTTAATGTTAAAATATTGGGAAGATTTACTTCTCCTTGTAGTCACAGATTCCAAAGATCAAATCCACCTTGTAGAGTAAACTCAGAGGAAAGTGCAAAATAAATTTTATTTTACCATAATCTTCTGAGTTTTCAGACAGGTAATCTAGAAAAGATTAACAGACCTTGTTGACAGTCTTTTTCTGTTCAAGATTTCTCTTGAAGATTTAAATAGGTCTGTGACTGCTTGCTTTCTTGTGCTTTTCATGGTGATTTTGACATTTTCTGATTTCATTTCATGCACTCATGGCTACCACTTTTCTGTTTCCTTTTTTCTGTTGTAGTTGGGATTCAAATGAGACTTTTATGTAAGCGTATTGTTAATCTAAGGGTATAACTTTTATAAAGTCAACTCAGTTCTCTGTCTTCTCCAGCTTTTGACCATATAGTTATCTTTGCTGCATAGCATCAAGTAATTTGGTCATTTCAGAAGTGCTTTACTTTAGGGACAGTTGACAGTGAGGGTTGGCCGTTCAAGCAGCACTTCATGAGGGTGGTAGGTCCAGTCCTCTTGGAGTGACATAATTCAGAATTGCATTCTCAACTTTACAGATCCAGAAACTCAATTTTGTCAGTGAACCTAGAATTAAGTAGATTTGGGGAGGCCAACCCACAATAACCCTACCCATAAGAGCCTGATCTGTATAAATCAGAGTGCCAATGTATTAATTTTCAGTCTAAGCTGCAGTTACCAAGAGGGCAGAATACACTGCTCCATTGGCTGGTCGGCCCATTGCTATTACTTACCTCCCTTTTAGGGAAAGTCTAGCTGAAAATCCAGCTTTCTCCCACATAAGCACAGAATCACAGCAAAGGGGGTGAAATTTAGCAGTCAGATGGCCCCTTCTGTGCTCTGAGGGATGATACTATATCAGGGCATCCTTTTCTTTTTCTTTCTTTAATTTTTTTAGGGCATTCTTTTTTATTTAATGGTTAACACTCCAGTCCGCCCATAAGTGCTACTAATTAGTAAGATCCCTTTTCAGTGGCCAGGTGCTGTGCTGAGTGCATTCTGTGCACTATCCCGTTTTCCCCTTATGACATCTGTAGAAGATACATTCTGTTGCTCTTAATTTATGGATGAGGAAACTGAAATGTAGAGAGGTTAAGCAACTTATCCAAGGTCATACAACTATTGAGTGTCAGATTCAAATCCCGGTCTCTAACACTAATGCCCATGCTTATTACCTTTATGATATACTGGCCTCCTGTGTCTATGCTGGAGGCATATAGCAAACTATTTCTCTTGTACCTTTTTCCCCAAATAGTCTTCTGATTGCTGTCATTGTTTTCAGAGGCTACAATACACTTGTTGGCATTATGGCTTTAGGTCATGATATCTTAGGGTTTGCTAAGTGTCATCGGCAACACCTTTATAAGCCTTTCCGTGGGTGGCAAATGGCCAATACCATCCATAATGTTTGGAATCTTACTCTTCTACTACAGGGGACCTTACCAGAACCCCTTATGGACTGACTGCACTAGCTATGAAGTACTTTCCTCAAAGCACTTTGCTTATAAGCCATCTTTATTGAATGCTGCTTGTGACTGTGTGGTTTTCATACTACGTGTTTTGTCTTCACAAGATCCTATGAGGCAAAGGATACTTATCAAAGGGAAGTCACTAGACATAGATGGTTAAGCTGGCTTGTTGAAAATGTAGAGACACCATAACTCGACATCCCCAGCTTCTTAAGACTCAGGAAGAACACAACCTTAGTTTTAGTTGTCTGTTTGCGTGTTCAGCTCTGAAGAATGCTGCTAATTTAAAAACCCTTTACCATCAAGTCAGTTTTGACTCAACAGCAACCATGTATTAAAAACCCCTTGCTGTCGAGTTAGTTCCAACTCATAGCCATCCTATAGGACAGAGTAGAACTGTCCCATAGGGTTTCCAAGCCTATAATCTTTACAGAAGTAGACTGCCACATCTTCTCCCGTAGAACGGTTGGTAGGTTTGAACCACCGACCTTTTGGTTAGCAGCCAAGCGCTTAATCACTTTCTGACCAGGGCTCCCTGCCCCTAGTTTAGTTAGTTGCTTAATTCCATTTTGTTTGGTTATAATCAAGCGTTAGACACAGAACTGAGTACTGTTTCTACTCTTTAATGCAACAGGATATGAGTAACCAAACATCACTGGCCTCATAAAATTAACTTGCATTCTGATTTTCTTTTCTCAGAAAGATTACATGGAGAACAAGAAAGTTGCTGTGGAATTAAAGGATGTACCATCTCCCCTTCATGCTGGCTCTAAACTTTTTCCAGCAGTCCCACTTCCAGATATTCATTCTCTTCAGCAACCTAAAATACAGCTTTCAACTGTCCCCAAAGTAAGCTGCTGTGCTCATTGCACTAATGAATCCTCCACGTCGCCAATGCATTTTGGTGGTGGTGGTGGCGGTGGCGGAGGTACTGGTAGCTTGATTCACACAGGCGCACTGTTAGACTCGCAAAGCACCAGGACAATCACGTGTCAAGTAGGGTCGGGGTTTGCTTTCCAGTCTGCATCTTCACTCCAGAATGCCTCAGCTAGGAACAATTTGGCAGGCATTGCAAGTGACTTTCCCAGCATGTGTCTAGAAAGTAACCTATCTTCCTGCAAACACCTGCCCTGTTGTGGAAAACTCCATTTCCAATCATGTCATGGTAATGTGCACAAGCTGCATCAGTTTCCAGCTCTCCAGGGCTGCCCCTCCGCGGCTGGCTATTTCCCCTGTTCTGATTTCACAAGTGGGGCTCCAGGGCCTATGGAAGAGCACATTTCACAGTCGGAACTAACGCCTCACTTGTGCACCAACTCTTTGCACCTAAATGTGGTACCACCGGTTTGTTTAAAGGGCTCACTTTACTGCGAAGACTGTTTAAACAAGGTTTGTATCTTTTTCCTTTTTATGTTGGGTGCAGCTGAGGTTTAGCTTTCTTGCCATCAGCGTAACTTCTGCAGGTTCTGAAGGAATCAAAGGATAAAATAGGAGGGACGATGCAAAGGAGTGCAGAGTATTTATGTAGTTTATACTCTCAGAGCCTCTTGTTGCAATGAGTCTGTTTTCCTACACGTGACCTGAGTTTGGCAAAGCCTCAATGTTCTGTTTTGTCTTTAAAGGCTAGAGCACGATTCTGATTTCTTGTAACTTAAACACAACTTATACATGGGCTTATTCATGTAATGTAGGTAACTGCATGTTGTCCTTTTGTAGTGACGCAGAGAACTTGAAACTTGGCCTCAGTCACACCAGTGTTCAAGTGAGGACTTGACTTCCCTTTATACAAAGTATGCAATGTGTGTGAGGTCTCCATTGCAGAAGACACACATCCCGGAACATAAAGGTTCCAATCATTGACTATCTCAAGTCATTTCAAGTCACTTCTTGAAATGAGTGTATGAATCGATAGCCAGTGATTCTGGGAAAGATGATATGAGAAAATACATCTTATCAGAGGTTAGCAGATGGAAACGTAAAACACTTAGAATGTGTTTTCAGCTGTTGTGTATGACTTTAGATTCTAAAGTGATGTATCTGAAACCTCCTCTTTTAAAAAATTTTAAAACAGCCGGCAAGAAATAGTATAATTGATGCTGCTAAAGTCTGGCCAAATATACCACCTCCAAATACTCAGACTGCTCCTGTCGCTATCCCTCTGTGTAATGGCTGTGGAACCAAAGGAACAGGAAAGGAGACCACGTTGTTATTGGCGACCGGTCTAGGCAAAGCTGCTTCGAAATTTGGTAAATGATAGTATGGTGTCAAATGTGCATATTTAAATAGTTTTCAATATCTGATACTAACACTGTATTTAATTGCCTTTAAAAGATTCCTGGTGTTTCTAAAGCTACTGTGTGTGTAAATGGGCAAGTCTCCATTTCCATCTCTTGATAAAAATATTTTTATTATAATACATCAGTAAGTCATTTGCCCTTTATGATGGGCCAAGACTGCTTGAAATTGGGAGAGCATATTAGGAGAAATAAATGCTGGAGGAGACTTGGTATCAACTTCGGTTCATAATCACACTTGTTGATTTTATACTCCCTAGGAGTAAAAATTTAGTAATGACTGATTAAAAACAATATTTGAAAACCTAAGAGGTCTCAGTTAAAATCATTTCCCTTAGAGTAGTTGATGTGATATTTTATCTTTTGAAAACATTTTTATAACGTTAAATCAGATGTTAACGCAGTGTTAAAAATAATTTAAAATCAACAACAGTAATAACTTCACCCTCTGTCATCTCGTCAGTATTCTTCTGTACCCAGTAGGTAGACAAGCGTGGGCTGCTCCTGACAGGTCCCAGAGCCGCAGCATCCACTCAGTTACGTGCTAGTGCTCAGAGATGTGTAACTGGTCAGCTTGAGAATCGCTCATGGTTTAAGATTGATTTACTGTGGGCTTAAAGTAACTTGACCTGTAGATTTGTCCTCTCCTGTAGAACAGGAATAATTTCTGAGAATGATATTATGGCAGCTGAGGGTTGTTTGTTTTATTAGGTCGACCAGTGAGGTTGGTATCCTTAAACTTGACATTAATCAGTATTTTAGTTTTTTTGCCACTAAGAATGATAGGTAGCTATCCATTAATTTTCGTCTGCCATTTCTTTTTCACTATGTGTGATTGAAAGTGTTAACATTTCTTAAGGGTCACCAGAAGTTGCAGTAGCTGGACAGATGCTAGAAAACTTACCCCCCATTGGAGTTTTTTGGGATATTGAAAACTGCTCAGTTCCATCTGGCCGGTCAGCTACTGCTGTCGTACAAAGAATCCGTGAAAAGTTCTTTAAAGGCCACAGAGAAGCAGAATTCATTTGCGTGTGTGACATCAGTAAGGAAAACAAAGAAGTTATTCAAGAGCTGAATAACTGCCAGGTGAAAAAAAGGGGGAGGCAGGGGATCTTTACTTTGGTAAAAGATTAAGCACGTACGATTTTCTTGTAAGAATTCCAATTCAAAATTTATTTAATGATACTGTTGGTTTTGTGCTGAGTGCAAATAAATAAGCACACACAAAAAAGATAACTTCTAAAGTACTGGAAATCATTTAATCATGTTTGACCATTCAGTAATGCTACACACTTAATTAGTGCTTTTCTAGCTATAATGGTTGCATGAATGTGGTTTCCTCTGATCTGTGTAACTGCTTTGTGAACAAGGCACATAGGAATTATTTGCAGTTTGCAAATGAAAATGAGGTTAGGCAACTTTTTTAAGGTCACATGGCCAGTAAGTAGAAGATCCTGGATTTAAACTCCAAAGTTTGTTCTCTTAAGCTGGAACTTAGAATCCAGTTCTTTTGACTCTTAGACAAGTAATGCCATTGATACACCATATTGTTATCTAAAATTCTGAACTTAGGTTCTTTACAAAAACTAACAAGTTCTATTGTATATTGCATGTGATTTAGGCACCTCTGCAAATAAACCTTACCTTGCTTTGGAGGCTTCTGTATGGGAGCCTGGAAGTTTTAACAACAGTAGACACCATTTTAGCTCTCTTAGGGGCAAATGCCCCTCCTCTTTGCACCACCTACCCCAGATCCTGATAGCTGTAGACCAAACCCATTGCTGTCGAGTCAATTCCGACTCACAGTGACCCTATAGTACAGAGTAGAACTGCTCCATAGGGTTTCCAAGGAGCGGCTGGTGGAGTTGAACTGCTGACCTTTTGGTTAGTAGCTGTAGCATGCTATAGCTCTTAACCACTGTGCCACATAGACAAATGACATAAAATACAACCCCAAATCTTACCTCAGTCATGTATCAAATCTCTGCTGCCTCCAAATTGTTTGCAAAAGCTATTAATGAGAGCATATTTAACTACTTCAAATTTCACTTCCTTTTCTCTACCTATTTTCCAAAAGGGAGATGGCTGAAGTGCAGAAGCAGAAGATCAGAGATGAGAGCCAGGGTGAAAAGGGATCAATTTAATTACAGAGAACCAGCTTTGAAATTATTGATAACATGTTTGTAATTTTTTTCCATTCTTAACTGGCAGTAATAACAATGAAAAGATTGTCTATTACTGTTAGGTTGTGTAGCTAAAGATTAACTGTTAAAATGTGGGCAGAATGTGTAGCAGTTTTTTGAGCTCAGCTCTAGCTCATTCGCCCTTATTATAAATTCATGCAGGTAACTGTTGCCCACATCAATGCCACTGCAAAGAACGCCGCTGATGATAAACTCCGGCAGAGTCTCCGAAGGTTTGCAAATACACACACTGCTCCAGCCACTGTGGTTCTTGTATCAAGTAAGTGTAGAAACCTCTGCTAATTTAAATCAAATTTACTGTGTAGAAATTGTCACAGAAGCCAAAAACACATTAAACTAAAATTTGTCCCAAAGAGGCTGCACGACATAGGGTGTATTTATGCTTATTTTTGAAAACTATTTAGAATAAATACTAGGTCTACATGGATTTCTGTATTTTCTCCTTGGAACTTGAGTGAGGATTCTCATGAGGCCAGGTTTATTAGAGAAAATCTTGGGAAAAAATTGTTTTTAAACCCATGGCCCAGTATTGCTAATTAAAAAAAAATCCAAGATGAATAGTTTCCAAATTTGAGGCCTCCCCAACATATCATTTGCCCCTTTTTAATATCGAAAATAACACATCTTGGGAATTGTCTATACCATGTTAATTCTTCTGATGTGAAACGTATTTCTGTTCTAAAAAGTGGGGAAAAGCAACTTTGAATTTAGGAAACAAGTATGCATTATTTCCTGACCAATACAGTCTTCAGTGGGTGTCAGCAGAGTTGTCTGCCTCTGTCAAGTGTTTCTAATGTTTGGGGATGGGGGTGGGCTGTACCTTTTCTTTCAGCTGATGTCAATTTTGCATTGGAACTTAGTGACCTGAGACACAGGCATGGTTTCCACATAATTTTGGTCCATAAAAACCAGGCCTCAGAAGCCCTGCTGCATCATGCTAACGAGCTGATCAGATTCGAAGAGTTCATTTCCGACTTGCCCCCCAGGTTACCACTCAAAATGCCAGTAAGTTGGTTTGCATTATTCTTGCCGTATTCCAATATTAGATCCTGGACACCAAGAGACAGCCTTACCAAGGGGGTTGCCAAGCCTAGGTGAGGCTTTTCTTTGTAGGAGGCTGACTAGATTTTGAAATAAGGGTTAGAAACCTTCAATTCTTCTCTTACAAATATACAGAGAGTTGGTATATATAAATTTTGCTTTTTTTCTACCCCCCATGATGTTGTAGAGAATTGACTTGGATTTACCTTACCAACGGCACTTGCCAGTATCTCCAGAGCTAGCAGTGTTTTGTGTCAAATAAATGGAAATAATAGAATGAAAGCTACTCTTTTTGCTCCCAAGAATTGTGGATGTAGAATATGGTGATGGTTTGCACAACTTGTGTGACTATAGCAATTAATTGTGTACTTTTTAGGCATTTAATCCTTTAGCCTTAGCAGACCCCCAAGTCCATGTTTTCTATGGTCATGCGTCCTGTCCCCCATCACGTGCACGTGCACATTTAGGAGTAGTGGTTATTGCTGCACCCATAGCGTATTTAAGCCATATGATCAAGAGAATGTGAGCATCTTTGCAGCAGGAGGAGCATTTCTGATAGACTTGATTTGAGATGAGAATGTTTACTGCCATGCTGAGCTGTGGTTAAGCTGTTTGGAGAATGTATATGTAACTCTTCCAAAGATCGAAAAAACCTCTTGCCGTCGAGTCGATTCCGAGTCATGGTGACCCTATAGGACAGAGCAGAACTGCCCCATAGAGTTTCCAAGGAGTGGCTGGTGATTTGAACCGCTGACCTTTTGGTGAGCAGCCCTAGGGCTTAACCACTGTGCCACCAGGGCTCCCTAGATAGTAATAGTAATTTTGATGAGAGGAGCAGCAGTGTGGATGATCCAGAAGGGTAGCAGTTTTAAAATAGAATTAAATAACTTTAGAGTTACAGAAGCATTAGAAATGATCTAATCTGATGTCTTCATTTTAGGGAGGAGAAAGTCAGTGCTTAGAGAAAGTAAATCAGTCAAAGGTCATACAGCTGACTGCAGCAAAGACTGCGCCCCAGGGCTCCTCAAGTACTTCCCCTGCTAGTCCCGCTGTATTCCCGGATACTAAACAAGCCCAGAGTTTGGCTAAGGACAGTCGCAGTTGGGGACACCAGAGTCTTGGCCAAGGAGTAACATACACAGGCCCTACCTCAGTCTTCTGAGCCTCTCTTGTAATTCACCTTTGTTGTTATTCATTATGTTTTAGTCTTTTGGCTTACAGCCTTTCCTCCCTTCTGCTTCTGTTTGGCACTCACTTCTCTAACCTCGAAGGCGTTTACATCAAATGTAGTCTTTTAGGTGAGAGCTTGCCTATTTCTGAGATCCTTACTGCGTATAGAGTAAAAAGAAAAAAAGGAGATCTCATTATTCAGAACATTGTCGTGCCAGGTGTTTTTTCTCAATTACTAGAGTAACAATTGAAGATACATTTCTTTTTTCTTTTGTGTTCTTTAGTCTGCCCTTTTAGTTTTAATAAATTGAACATTTATATTGCCTGGGTTTTGAGCCCTGGGTGTATTAGGACGAGTGTAGACTTTGTTGATGATTGGAGAACAAAGCCTTTGATTATAAAAATGTGTTTGTTGTTTAAAAAAAAAAATCAGTATTCAGGAATGTGAAAAATGAAATCCCCACAATCTCACCCTCCAGAGATAACTACTGGTAAGGGTTTGGTATTGTCTTCCAGGTTTTTTTTTTTTTAAATGGGTTCAATTTCTTAAAAAACAGAAATAGTGTCATATAGCTAGTGTTCTGTGACCTTTTTTTTTAGCCTAACAATGTCATATCTTGGATGTCTTTCTGTGTCAATATATTTTATTACAAATCTACCACATTTTAAAAACCATCAGATAGTTGGTTTGAAACATCCTTGTATGGCTGGTCTTGGTAATTTATTTAACCAGTCTACCTGTTACTGGACCTTTTGTTTATATCCAGTTTTTCACCATCTCCAGTAAGAACCTGTGTCACTTGTGAACTTCTGGGCTAATAGTCTGTAGGATAAGTTTCAAGGCAGGCAAGTTTTGGGTCAGAATTTTATTGGCTAGATCCAAATTGCTTCTAGGAAGGCTGTACTGACTTACACTCGTACCAACAATGAATGAGAGTATAGTGTCAGTTTTAAACATTTACTAGTCTGCTAGGTAGGAAATGGTATCTGATTATTAATCATTAGCAGTGTTGCAAAATATCCTTTTATTATTGTTGGATGTTGATATGTAAATTGTTTATATCGTCTGCCCATTTTTAGTGGTTTATTTTATGGCTTCTGGATGTAAACCTCTCCAAAATTGCCTTAAGTTTTCTTCTGGTACTTTTATGGTTTCATTTCTTAATACATCAATTTCAATTCATCTGGAAAGTTTTGACCACCCACACTGACAAATAGAACTTCTGGGCTGACTGTTGGCAACCTGCTGCTCTAGCTGGACGAGGTGTTTCTCAGCAGCCGTGCTGAGTAATCAAATAGACTTTTTTGAAAGCTAATTAACATAGCACAAAATTTACCTATTTAAGTGTGTAGTTTATTCAATTTTAGTAAATTTACTGAGTTGTACAGCAGTTTTAGAGTATTTTCCTCACCTCAGTAAGATTCTTCATGCCAATTTGCAGTGAACCCCCATTTCCACCTCCTCACAACCACTCAACTTTCTGTCTCCATAGATTTGCCTTTTCTGGCCATTTCATAGAAATGGAATCATATAACATGTGGACTTTTGTGCCTAGCATATTCATTTCAAATGGCCTTCAATTCCCTCATTAACACTAAATAAGTTACCCTGTACCGTCTAGGTCATGATCGCCTCTCCTCTCAGGTTATCAGCTAAGGTTTGGGATTGCTTGTTGTTGTTCTTTGTAACTGAACGTGTGTCCTGGGTTAACCTGATGTAACACTCTTTTCCTCTGTGTTAGCAGTGCCATACTCTGCTCTATGTTTATAACCTACCAGCAAACAAAGATGGCAAGAGCATCAGCAACAGGCTCAGACGCCTGTCCGACAACTGTGGTGGGAAAGTACTGAGTATCACAGGCTGCAGTGCAATTCTCCGCTTCATAAACCAAGATAGTGCCGAACGGGCTCAGAAGCGAATGGAAAATGAAGATGTCTTTGGCAATAGGATCATTGTGTCATTTACTCCAAAGAACAGAGAACTCTGTGCAACAAAGAGTCCAAGTGCAATTGCTGATAAAGTGAAGTCCCCTAAAAAACTTAAGAATCTAAAATTGTGCCTCATCAAAGATGCAAGTGAACAATCTTCCAGTGCCAAAGCCACACCTGGAAAAGGGTCGCAGGCAAATTCTGGATCTGCTACAAAAAATGCAAACGTTAAAAGTTTACAGGTAATTTTGATACCTCTTGCTTTCTGAAGCGTGTGGTAGGTTTGGTTTGTTTCTGTGTTTCCTGTGCTCACGTGCTTTTGGTGCGTCCTTTTTTTATTTCAGTTTTTGATGATAGTCAAAGTCAAGTGTTTTCTGTACAGGGCGTAACACTTCTTGAGTACTTAAATTTTTAAACCCCACTGCAATTGTGTCTTTTAAGGAGCTGTGCCACATGGAGTCCAAGACTGGTAATAGAAACAGTGAGCCTCAGCAAGGTAATATGAGTCTGGCCGCCCCTCCTCACAGTAATTCAAGTGCTGCAGTGCCGACATATAAAAACTCGGGGATGGCAGAATCAGTTTACAAAGGCAATCAGAAGTATGTTAAGTTGCTCTTTTGTCACAGTTGCTTATTTAATGTCAAGGAAAAACAAATGACCTTTTCTCCCTGATTCTTCCCTGTATTAGAAAAGAGAACCTCAGTGCCCGAAGTGTTCCCAGTTCTCCTGTAGAAAGAAAAGATAAAGAGGAGAGTATGTTCCAAGTCAGTTACCCATCTGCTTTTAGCAAGCTGATTGTATCAAGGCAAGTCGGGCCTTTGCTCACATCTCAATCTTGGTCTTCTCGGTAAGTCCAGCTTCTCAGCCTGTGGTGTGGTTATGTGAAATAAGAAAGGATTACTAATTCTCAACAACAACAATAAAATTTAGGAAAAAAAAGGATTACTAAATAGCCTGTTCGTTTAAAAGAAGTCAAGCAATACAGAAGTGCATAAAGTAAAAGATGAGTCCCCCATCCCTCTTCTGCTAGTCCCCTTTTCTCAGGTTACTATAGTTAACATTTAGGGGCAATGCTTCTTACCATTACTGCCTCCTCCATGTGGAAATCTTGGGAAGCAGAGGTCAGAAAAGCCTGTCTTGAAGTTCCTGGGAGGTGCCTGTTTATCTTTGCGATCTCCTCTTTCCTGTGTTGAGGAAGAAGCCCAAACTAAGGCAGACACTGGATATTCTTACTAATAGGGTGATTATAGGAAGCTGTTTGAGAAGTCGGGGTCCCTGTAAACCACTGTAATTATCTATGTAACACTTATTATCTAAGTTTTCTAAACTTATACCAAGTAATTCTCTTAAGACTGGAAAGACAGAAGGAGCCACAGGCCATGTTGTATTCCCATGAGCCCTTTCTGGCATTATGTTTGTTCTCCGTGTTGATGAAGAATCACTGGAGAAAGTGACGTTGGGCTGTAAAATTCCATCCAAAAAGTCACATAACATTGTTTCCTATGTGGAGAAAGGACTTCAATAGAAGAACAAGATTATCTAGTTTTTCAGAGCCAAGTCATTGAAACCCATTGCTGTCGAGTCAATTCTGATGCATAATGACCCTATAGGACAGAGTAGAACTGTCCCATAGGGTTTCCAAGGCTGTAATCTTTATGGAAGCAGACTGCCACATCTTTCTCCTGTGGAGCAGGCTGGTGGGTTTGAACCGCTGACGTTTTAGTTAGTAGCCAAGCACTTATCCTCTGCCCCACCAGGACTCCTTTCAGAGCCCCCTCCTCCCAAAAAAAACGAAACCCGTTGGTGTCGAGTCTATTCCAACTGAAAGTGACCTTATAGGACGGAGTAGACTTGCCCCATACGGCTTCCAAGGAGCACCTGGTAGACTCGAACTGCTGACCTTTTGGTTAGCAGCCATAACTCTTAACCACTATACCACCAGGGAGCCAAAAAAGAGGTTAAATGATTTAAATTGGTGTTAAAAGCTAATTTCCTAATAATAAATGCCCAAAGTGGTAATTTAATTCATCAAGACTGCCTGTAATTTTTGCCTTTAAATAATCCAGTGAAAGAATATTTAGTTACTAAACAGTTTGCTGGTTCTTAATAAGGGATCAACAGGTAGTATTCGACTGATAGGTACTTTGGCCAATAAGTATAAATCAGTGTATTTTTAAGATAAAAACACATTTGAAAACCAAGTGTTTGGTTTGGTTGTGTTGTGGAAAAACTATTTCTCCACATAGCTTCAAACAAAGCCTAAATGATATAACCGATAAATAGAATAAAAATTAAAAAAATAATGATCTCAAAATGTATATTTTAAGCAGGAATGTGTCTCCAAACCTTTTAAACAGAGCGTCCCCACTTGCTTTCAACATTGCAAATTCAAGCAGTGGTGCAGACTGCCCAGACCCATTTGCAAATGGTGCTGACATCCAGATCAGCAACATAGACTACAGATTATCCCGGAAGGAGCTGCAGCAGCTCATGCAGGAAGCCTTTTCCAGGCATGGCAAGGTAACCTTCTTACTCTTGTTCTTGCTTTTGTTTTACCCTTTGATAGAATTTCAGGTTGAGAGAACTTAATTCAACATGGCGTTAACTACAGTCAGGTTGCCGTTGAGTTGATTTCACCTCGTAGTGACCCTACAGGACAGAGTAGAACTGCTGTATAGGGTTCCCAAGGTTGTAATCTTTACAGGAGCAGACTGCCACATCTTTCTCCCATGGGGTGGCTGGTGGGTTCAAATCGTCGACCTTTTAGTTAGCAGCTGAGCACTTAACCACCATGCCACAAGGGCCCTTGACAGTCAGGATATAGGTGTACTAAATGAGTTTAAGCTCTTTCCTTTCTCCCCTGGTCCTCCTGCAGGGGTGCTACAGTTCCAGTGTTTGGGACACAACCTCAGAGAGTAAAAAACCAAGGAGTGAGAAGCACTTGAGATCTTGGGCAAGGATTCAAGTGTCACTTTGGGAAATAAAATACTGATAGGTTTTAGTTAGCTCTGACTGCAAATACAGAAATAAGCTTCTAAAATAATATTGGCTGTTTTTGCTTATTATATCTGATTCAGTTTTTAGGTGCAGTTTGCTAAAAACACACTTTTTACAGATCTATAAAATGGCTATGCCCTAGGTTTTTGCAGGGTCTGGAGAAGACCCCGAACATTCCTCATGCTTCTTGGCCTCTGAGTCTGCCTTGGAGAGCTGTGTGTGTCAGAGGGCACAGGCGGACCAGGCCAGTTTCCCTTCTCTGAAGGTCACCCTCGCCTATCTTGCTTGAGTTCTGGTCAGCAGAAGTGCAGAATGCATACAGGTTCCCCCACGGCAGCCCTGAAGTTCACCAACATGTTTCTTAATGACTCACCTTCTGTTTTAAGATGGCCAGGTTCTGGGGTGACACAGATTTCTGTTTTCCTTGTTACCGCTATAGGTGAAGAGTGTTGAGCTCAGCCCCCATACAGATTATCAACTCAAGGCTGTCGTCCAGATGGAAACCTTACAAGAAGCAATCAGCGCGGTGAATAGCCTCCACAGATACAAAATTGGTGGCAAGAAGATCCTGGTCTCACTTGCCACGGGAGCTACTAATAAATCACTCTCTTTACTGAGGTAAAAAAGGAAAAAACTAAGCCATTTATTTCAGGAAATGAAATAACATTTTGGCCCAGAAACAATTTTGGAAATAATAAAAACAGATTTTATCACACTGCTTTCGCTCTTGTAGTGATTTCATATCCAGTAATGCTTATTCTTAGTGACAGAGTCAGAAATAAGCTATTTGACTCTTGCTCAAGTCATAAGCACAGGTAACCTAACACTCCCGCGAGTTGATTCCGACTCATAGTGACCCTATAGGACAGAATAGAACTGCCCTATAGGATTTCCAAGGCAGTAAATCTTTATGGAAGCAGACTGCCAGATCTTTCTCCTACAGAGCGGTTGGTGGGCTCGAACCACCAACCTTTCAGTTGACAGATAAGTGCTTTAACCACTGTGCCACCAGGGGCTCCTAAGAAGGAAAGATGAAGTATAGCTTAAAGTTGGTAGGCACTTAGCACTAAAATAATACCTTAGATATCCAGAACAGGTTCTAAAAATTGTAGACTTCTATAGTAAAGGTTTATAAGCCTGAAAAGTCTGACATTACCTTCAAATCTCAGTAGAAGATGGATTTGCCTGTAAAAGGTAGAAGTACATAGCTCTAAGCTCTCAGCTCTGCCTTATTCTGAATGTCACATAAACATCTAGCCCCATAAGTCTCCATCACGACTATATTGATCTTTGATCTTAGGAGTCGAGTGGTGATTTTATTCTGTAGTGAGCTTTGATTGTTCTCTGGCTCTCTCTGTTTTGAGAAGAAGGAATAAATAAATCGAGACTTCTCAATACCTGTTTGGATGATCGAGGATTTTTGCTCTGACTTGCTATCCACTATTAATGCTTTGTGAATTTTTTTTTTTTAATTAAAACTGCAAAAAAATTCTTTTAAATATGGGGCTTTTTTCCTTAGAATAAAAATAATGCTCATTGAAGAAAATCTGGAAAGCTCAGAAACATAAAAGAAGCAGAAAAATCATCCATAATCCTGTGGCTCAATGCCAGCCAGCCTTAACAGTTTGGCAGGGTTTTTTTCCCCCTTTGGATGTTTTTTGGTACCTTATTATTTTTTCAAATCATAGTTGAGATCATATTGTATTCAGTTGTGTATCCTCAACTACGAGCATAGCAGGAGACATTCGAACTGTTCTGCCTTTTGCTTTGAATTAGCAACAAGGTGTTCATCCCATGTGAGCAGTCAGTGTCGTTCTGATACACAGGTGTAGAAAGCCCTATGATTTGAGTCTGGGAAAAATCCTAGTGGGTGACTTAATTTCCTTTAATTGGCTTGTCCCTAAGATCCTTTCTTTAATTTTTTTCTGGAAAGTAAATTCTGACATACAGAAACAGGTAAATTTATTTTGCATACACATGGTGTTCATCAGTTTTATGAACTCTGTTTTTAAAATACAGCTTCTAATGTAGGAAGAAAATAGTCTGTTTGCTAATTAATTAAGATTTTGTCTTACAGTGCTGAAACAATGTCTATTCTTCAGGATGCTCCTGCCTGCTGTCTGCCTCTTTTCAAATTTACAGATATCTATGAGAAAAAGTAAGTTAAGCTTATTTTTTCATAAACCCAGTCGGTATTTACTGGTGACTTCTATGCATAAAACTGTAATAGTGACTCCTCAGGAACTTCTGAGAAGTGAGACAAATGTAATTGGGTGTTCAGATTTAAATTTCTATTTTAATACACATTTTAAAAACTTCTTTCATTTTTAGAAAATTTAGAATTTTAGTCCCCAAACCTGTACTTTCATTTTTTCCAGTTGGCTGATTACTTTTACTATTTGTTGAGTGAACATTTTTAAGTAGCTTATAGACTAAGCTCTAGGATGATAGAGACTGGGTCTGGCCTAGTACCACATCTGTAGTGCCTGGCACAGCGTCTGGCACATAGTAGGTGCTCAGCAAGTATTAGTGGAAAGAAAGACTGTGGCACTGTGGAGAATGCAGAGCTAGGCAAGACAGCACCCTGTCCTTGAGGAGCTTGTTGTCTGGAAGGGAAGAGGAGACGTTCACAAATTATATAAAATGAGGAGACTTGTTGTTAAAAGAGGGGATGGGATAGAGACAGTGCTTTGTGGATACAGAGGAGGGAAAGAACAAGGAGCTAGACCACTGTTCTGTGGGTAATGGAAAACCACTGATGTATTTGAGGACCGAGGGGAGGAGAGAGATGTGGTGACCAGAGACGTGCTTCAGGAAGGCTTTTCTCGTAACAGTCGTGTCTGAGATGGTGTGAACAGGAGAGAGAAGGGAGAGTGCTGCACCAGTCCACAGTCTGAAGGTGCTGTCGGAACAGAAGGACTAGATACAACTGACATTTCAAATGCTGCTGTAACAGGAAGTGGTAACTAGTTTTATGTAGTGGTCAAGGTAAAAAGTGTTGATCAGTTTGATCCCCAGTTTTTGCCCTGGATGACTGGGAGGATGGTTGTGTAGTTAAACAGAAATAGGGAAATAAAGCATATTTAGGAGGTACAAGGAGTGTGAGTTTTGGGGGGCCGCTGGAATATCTGAGTAGAGAGTTGGAGTAGGCTGCTGCACATTTGAAGGCTCCCTCAGGAGACAAGTTAGCTCTGAAGATATGCCGGTTATTTGTCTAAAAGTAATCATTAAAGTTATTTGCCTAAAGATGATCATGGAAACAGATAAGATCAAAAGAGAGAGGAGAAGCAGAAGGGCTGGTCTGGAGGCAGGGGAGCCAGCAAGAACCCAAGGTAAATGTGTTATAAGTAGGACATGTAGAAAGAGAGTAGGTCAGGAATGTGAGGATGGGCCGCAGGGCTGAGGAGACTGAGGAAATGGTGTGAGGTTTGGGGATGAGGAGGAGGTCGCTGGTGACTTTAGACTCGTCACTCCAGAGTAGTGTGGATGAAATCCAGGAGAGAAGGGATTGACAGACTGGGTGGTGAAACAGCAGAAGCCACTCCTGAGGGACCACTCTTTGTATTTAAGGGAAGACAAGGGGATACAAGACTGAGGGCAACAGCCTGAGTGAGGGGGAGAGAACAGAAGATTGGGCTCACGGAGGAGAAATCTGACGTGTGTAGGGTCCTGGGAAGGAAGCACTGGATAGGCAATAATAAGAGCAGCTAACATTTATTGAGCACTTACTATGCGCTAAGTCCTGTGCTAAGCCTTGTCCATATATAATCTCATTTAGTCCTCACATTAACCCTGCAAGATAGGGATTATCATCACCCCCATTTTACAGATGGAAAAACTGAAGCCCAGAGAGGTTAAATAACTTGGAGGTTGAGTCAGTATGTGAACTCAAGTCTATCTGCCTCCAGAGCCTGTGCCTTTAAACACCTTAGTATGAAAGATGCAAGTTAGGGGGATGGTTGAGGAGTCAAGCCTGAGATGAAGTTTGACTCACGAGGCTGAGGCTTAAGTGAGGAAAAGGGAGAAGCTGTGGAAAGGAGGTATACCTCTTCTGAGGTTGGGGAGCAGAGATTGTGAGAGAGAACACAGGGAAATTTGGAAGTAAAGGGGAGCGAAGTTGAGCGGCCATTTAAGAAACTCGGGGGAGAGTGGAAGAAAGGAGACAGGGCCAAGCTGGGCCTTGACCAGTGTATTAGGCGAAGCCCAAATGGTGTAATAATCGTGATGGGCAACGAGCCAGAGATGACTCGAAGGATTGCCAAGCATCCTGGTTCGACAGTGATGAGTTTATAGCAGAATTATTCCGGTTTGAGTTTTGAAGGGACAGAGGAACTATTCTTGATATAAGGGAATAACAGAGGTGCTTCTCACTTTACTTGAGTGCAGCCCTTTTCTTAAACAGGATAGGCGTCTTCTGTATAATCAAAGAAAAACGTTCTCTTCGAGTCGATATTTCCCTTTTTTTTTTCTTGCTGTAGGTTTGGACACAAGTTGAATGTGTCAGATTTATATAAATTAACAGACACAGTGGCAATCCGTGAACAGGGAAATGGAAGACTGGTGTGTCTCTTACCCAGTAGCCATGCCCGACAGAGCCCCCTGGGGTCTTCCCAGTCGCACGAGGGCTCATCAGTGAATTGCAGCCCAGTCATATTTGAAGAGTTAGAATATCATGAGCCCGTCTGCCGACAGCATTGTTCCAATAAGGAGTTCAGGTATATCGCCCCATTTCCCTTAGAAATCATCCTTTTGTATAAGGTCGTGGAACATTTGTTAGAATTAATTTGCAAACATTTTAGACAACGGAGCAATGTCACCTCAATATTTTGTTCTCTTTTCTGTAGTGAACATGAATTTGACCCAGACTCTTATAAGATTCCTTTTGTGATTCTCTCTTTGAAGACGTTTGCACCTCAAGTTCATAGTCTTCTCCAGACACATGAGGGCACTGTGCCTTTATTAAGGTGAATCATATCAAAGTCATTGTGAATATAATGCCATAGTTTTCCTTTTTATAGAAACTGCTCTCTCTGCCCACATTTCTCCGCAAGTGTCGTAGAATACTTCGTCCTTCGTTTTTAGCCTTCTGGCAATTAAAGTGTAGCAGTATTCCAACAAGAAAATTTGAGTTTGTGCTAAATTCTAGAAATCTAAACATGAATAGGATAATTTCTTCACAAGGAAGAGATGTATTATAAATGCTATAGTAGAAGTATGCACAATTGCCAGGAGAGTGTGCACAGTCTCAGCTACTTTATCTTGTACATTTCCAAATTAGAGAAAAGTGTTCTTTAAAAATCCATTTAGCCAATAATAGTAATAATAGTAATAATCCATTTAACCACACCATTGGTCATGATGGTAGACTTAATACAAAAGCTATCAGACTAAGTTGCCTTAATACCAGCAATGCATAACCAACTTGGAACCCGGTTGCCTTATTTTTAACCCCCTCTACTGGACAATTGTCTGCAAATTTCTGGTACCATCAGAATGCATCAGAAAGGTAAACACCATCGTGATTGCTTCCCTGGGACCTTGATTTTAATGTTCAAACCCAGGTCATGGGCATTTAAACAAATTATTTGTTTAATGAATATATTAAAATAAAGGCTCCTAATTTTTTTTAAAATAAAGGCTTCTGTTTAGAAGGTGCTTTACTTTTTCATTATTTTAATTAAACACCCCCCACCCCCATTTCAGCTTTCCAGATTGTTATGCTGCAGAGTTTGGTGCCCTAGAAGTGATGCAGGAAAATAGAGGGGGTGTTCCCTTAGAACACCTCATCACCTGTGTTCCAGGTGTAAACATTGCCACAGCACAGAATGGTGTCAAAGTGCTTAAATGGATTCACAACAAGCCCCCACCTCCAAACGCAGGTAGGTGTCAGGCTTTTGGTCTTCCCGAGCCTCACCTCTGCTGTGAGGCAGGGAAGGGGCAGCGCTGTTGCCAGCCTGTGACTATTTTTGGCTAGCATATTGACTATATGGGACATGAGTGTAGAGGTTGAGAAGGAAAGCAACTATTTGGTTTAGTCCACTTGCTCATGATGGAGCTCAAGCATGGGACTGAAATGTTAGTTTCCTTCAGCTGGTGAAGTCATACTTTATGTCTTATGTATGTTCTTTTTCCCCTCATATGTCTAGACCCTTGGCTTCTGCGTTCTAAAAGCCCTGTAGGGAACCCCCAGCTGATCCAGTTCAGTAGGGAAGTGATTGACTTACTGAAGAACCAGCCATCCTGTGTCACGCCAATTAGTAATTTCATCCCATCCTATCACCATCATTTTGCGAAACAGTGCCGAGTATCAGACTATGGCTATTCCAAGTTGATTGAATTATTAGAAGCAGTGCCTCATGTGTTGCAGGTAAGGAATGATCATTATTTCTTTAAAAACAGGAATGTTCCTTCATGGCTTTGACTGCCCTTGCCAAAGAAACAGCATGGCTAGTACCCTAACTCCTAAAAAATCAATTCAGAGCAAAACATCCTGTGAATGCTTTCTTCAAAGTGCAGTAAACATACACAAGGTGGCTTCTCAGTTTTTCAGAAAGCTACAAGTTTCCAACTAAAAAGAATTCCTTGTAAGCTGTGAGGAATATTTTCCTTTAACCTCTGTAGACTGATGTTCTTCCTAGCACAGTTCTCTCCAAAAGTGTTCACTATCACAAGGGAACTGCTGTGAACATCTGTGCATTTGTATGTTGGTGCATATGTGAGAATCAGGGTCTTCACCTTTTTCATAAGTGAGCTGGGAGACTAGTTACTGGGCTAGACTTTAGCATTGGTTCTTAGGAAGTCTGCCTGTTCACTTAAGGCGTCTAACTGAATTGTACCCACTTGTAAAAATTGTCTGGAAAACTTCACCTGTCTTTTAGAGACAAAATTAGTTGCCCAAACTGATAGTATGCATTTCATTTCTGTACTCATGACTATTTGGGACAAGGTGTGCAGGGCAAAAAATAGGGTCCCCGGCACTTGGGCAGTTGTTCATTTTGGCAATCTACATATGTTTTGTTGATTTATATGTGTTTCACACTGCAGATACCATACGTAAAGGGAGTTGTTCTCTGAGGTGGTAGCAGAAGAGAGAGCCATTGACAAAAAAGTGAGGATCTGTCAAAGTCTTAAAAGTTTAATAATCAAAAGTGTTTGATTTGCAGATTCTTGGAATGGGTTCCAAACGTTTGCTGACGCTTACCCACAGGGCCCAGGTGAAGCGCTTTACTCAGGATTTACTAAAACTTCTCAAATCCCAAGCCAGCAAACAGGTCATTGTGAGAGAATTCTCGCAGGCTTATCATTGGTGAGTTGATGAGGGAAAAAAAGTATATATGTATATATGAAAGCAAATATTTTATTTTTTCTTCCCCCAAATTTTAAACGATTATCTAACTTTTCTATTATCTATTTTTTTGGAAAACCTACAAAGTTATTTGAACAAGTGATATTATTCTTTGTCCATTTCCATTTTTAAAACCTAGGTGTTTCTCAAAGGACTGGGATGTCACTGAATATGGTGTTTGTGAGCTGACTGATATCCTGTCAGAGATTCCAGACACAACCATCTGCTTGTCTCAACAAGATAATGAAATGGTAATTTGTATCCCCAAAAGAGGTATGTTGACTTCAGTTTGCCGGACAGCTTTAGTCTGTCTCAGTAGTTATTTTAAAACGAATTTGTTCAGGGGATGCACTTTTCCCTCTCTCTCTGTGGGCCCTGAAGATCCCATGGGAAGCGCAGTTTGACACCAAGAGCTCTACTACGCAGTGGGTCCTAGGTGGGTCAGAGTAGGCCAAGCCATTAGTCAGGAAGAAGAAAAGCACACTAATTTTTCAGAATACGCTCTAAAGAAAACAGGCATAACAGCACTTTGTTAAGATGCCTTCTTTGTCCATCTGTGACTATTTAAGCCACAGGCACCCTTGAGAAGGAAAGAAAGCTCAGATGAATTTTTGTTTTTTCCCCCTTTCCAATTTTAGTAATTCCAGTTGAGGTCTGGGAGATAGGCTAGATAAAAATAAGTCTACCTCCTGTCATGTTCGCCCACTATTATTAATGATGATTCTTAAACCGTGCTCCTGCAGAAAACTGACATCCCAGATTCATGGTATTCCACAACCAAAATTAGTAACGTCAGTCTTCTCCCAGTTCTAATTTAAAAATGAATAGAACCAAAAAAATTTAAGCTTAAGCTTTTTCTCCTTTGTATTTTTGTTAAATCTTTGCTGCCTGATACTCTTCTGCTAAAGATGAAATGAATAAATGAAAAGCATGTGACTATTCAGAAGTGTGATTTCACAGAAATCATTCCTATGCTATTTCAAGTACAGAGACCTGGGTGCCACGTCACTGTCGTGTTTATATAAATGCATACACGCAGGCACTCACACACGTGTGTATATACACAGCGAAGCCTGTGAGAGCTGGAACTCCACGGGACTGCCTTGTTTTTCCAGGTCTTAAAAGTTTTCCCCCTTTGACAGGGTGCAGTCTTACCACTTCTCTATCACTCGTTTTAGTGGAAAATAGTTGAGTTTTTCTTCTCTGGCAGGTTTGCGCCTTACACAGGTTCTGGCTTTTGCAGGTTTTACTGTATATACACACACTCATATTTCTGGGGTTGGGGAGCCGAGGGTTACATATACATGTATTTCATAGTATACCATAACAGTATCATGATTTCTAAGGTATTCTGCTTCTGAATGTGTGTGAGAACCACTTGCAAAGAAAGAAGAGTTATATATGTGTGTTTTAGATGGTATGTTTGGAAGACAAAGTTCTTATCTCCTGTAAACTGTGAATAGGACTCAGTATAGTGTGATATTAAACACAAATGAGTAGCAAAGATTATGATTTATGTTTGTTTTTTAAAGAACGTACCCAGGATGAAATAGAAAGGACAAAACAGTTCTCCAAAGATGTTGTTGATTTGCTGCGTCACCAGCCCCACTTCCGGATGCCCTTTAATAAGTTTATCCCCTCCTACCATCACCACTTTGGCCGGCAGTGCAAGCTCTCATACTATGGGTTTACCAAACTACTTGAACTTTTTGAAGCCATACCTGATATTTTACAAGTGAGTTAAGAAATTCTAATTATATGAGTATTTTTCTGAACAACATGGGGGGAATGTTTTTACTTTCAAGACCTATTTTCCTGGGAAGGTAGGGCATTATGAAAGAGACTGAAAGTCTTGAAATAATCTGATCAGAGAAACTATGTTGTTGGCTCATCACTGTTTTTAGGAAAATGTGTCTTTTTTCTTTACAAAAGAAATAACTTATTTTTCTAATTTGGTTTAGGGTAATGTTGAAAAAAGGGTTAGTTTGATTTCTTAAAATGGCATATTCTTTCTTTAACTCCATACTTTTCAAATCCTGTATGTTGGAGGTGATACCAATGCTAAGCCATTAAACTTTAGCTAAGTTAAACCTTATTTCTGTTGTTGACTCTAATATTATTTTTGAGTCTTAAAAGTGCTTTTTAGTTACTAGTTTCTGTACATTTTCATGCCATTTGATTCCATAAGCAGTCGTAATTTGTCTAATCTGTTTTTCCTCCTCCCTGTGTGTTTTCCAAGGTACTGGAATGTGGGGAAGAAAAAATCCTTACTTTGACAGAGGTAGAAAGGTTCAAAGCTCTAGCTGCCCAGTTTGTTAAACTCCTTCGGTCCCAAAAAGATAACTGCCTTATGATGACAGATCTACTCACAGAATATGCTAAAACTTTTGGCTACACATTTCGTCTCCAAGATTATGATGTCAGTTCAGTTTCGGCTTTAACACAGAAGCTCTGCCATGTTGTAAAGGTAAAGAGAGTTTTTGTTTTTTTCATGGAATAAAACTTGAGGTGGCACAGCTCTCACTGGGACACTTGTGTGTGCTGTAGCATTTCTGCATTTGCTCCTTGTACTGCTTTCTGTTGCTTCACGCCCTGCTTTGCCTGTCATTGGTAATACTAGTAAGGTAATACAGCACGACTTAAGTTTGGCAGTTTAGAGTTTTGATCTTGTTTTTGTGTGTCTGTTAGCAACCTTGCCAAAGTCATGCTTTTTTGAACTGATGAGGTCACTTCATCAGAGTGTTTACTCTCAGCTGCCTCAATCTCAGCACTGCTGGCCTGCATTTGGGTCCTTTCAAACAGATCTTTGTCTCCTAAATTTTGGGAGTTTTTGGTAATCACAGATCTCTTCTCTCCAGATTGTGACTCAATTAAGTAGATTTAGAGCAAGCTAGGGCTCAGAATTGCCTTTGTTGTTGGTAGAGCTGTATTAGAGAGGGTAGCTTCCCCTTCTTCTCTGCCGTGGACTGAACTGACCCTCCCATCGTAGGCAGAGCAGCTGGACCAGTTTCAGGCCTCCTCCACAGGGCCAGGAAATCCCACTACACAGAGGAAGGAATGGAAAGGAAAACAGGCAGTGGTGGCACCCCGAGTCAGGTCTGGAAGCAGTCTGGTTATATCCTGGTCAGAGGAGGAAGAGCCTTCACAGGAGACAGGAGGAGCTGCCAGAGAGGGAGGAAGAACACTAGCAGAGTGTTATGTCCCCGAAACCACGGAAGAGAGCTGGTCAGCAGTCACCTGCTGCTCAGAGGGAAGTGAGATAGGACTGACTTGACCTTTGACTTCAGCTAAGTGGAGATAATTAGCCAAAGACTTTGATGAGTAAGGGTGAGTGACTAGGAAGCTGGGTATGAACAACAGAGATGGAAGAAGATGAGCAAGGCCTCAGCATGCAACCGTGGCTGCCCACCAGAATCTTCCACGGAGCTTCTGGGAAACACTGATGCCTGGACTTCACCACTGCCTCCAAGATTCTTATGTAATTAGTCTAAATGTGCTCTGAGAAGTGGCATTTTTAAAAAGTTTCCCTAGTAACTTTAATGTGCATCCAGGGTTGAGAATCAAGAGAGGTAGCTAAGTAGCATCAAAGGAGCAGGTTTTTCTTTTTTCCTCTTTAAAAGACTGGAGTAGCAGTGATGATCTGCACATCTAAGAAGATGGCTCACTCCCCTAGACTTGTATCTGAGGGTTGATTAAACCCCACTTCTGAGGAGGAAATCTGTAGTCTGAGTCTCCACAAATCCACAATCATGAGACGTTTGTGGTAGAGGGTGGGGGAAGAAAGAGGAGAGCAGGTGGAGTGGGACTCTGCCTACACAGCCTCTGCCTAAGTCCTGCCTTAGCTCTGGACAAAATTCAGGACCAGATAAAGACACACTGAACTTGGGATGGCTCCTCAGGTGCCACCTACCTCTCGGCCTCTTCAGAATCCAAAGCCCCAAATAGTCCGAGCTAGTGATTGCCTAGCCCTTAGTGTGGGCGTTGAGACCTTTGGTCCTGGCAAAAAAACAGGGAAAAACAGGCTCAACAGCAAACATTTGTTTGACTTATCAGAGCCTAACCAGCATGTATTCTGAAGTTCTACCCGTTTAGTGCCAGGAAAGGCTCAATTCACAGATTCGCCCTCCCCCGCCCCACTCAGGGCCTATGTGATTGCTCTGCTCACCTCAGTCACCAGATGCTTGCCTCTTCATGTGGTCCCTAAATGATAACTTGTGTCTTTCTTATAAGGTTTCCCTCTCAGTGCACTTAATCACTTAAGTTCTAAGTCTCCTTGTAGTCAGCAAAATCCCAGCTTTCGGCTAGCGTTGGTGGACCAGAAAAATGCAGCTTGCTCTGTAGTCCAAGTGGGTCTTGTACACCATTCTCCCAGCCCAGACCTTGGGCGAGCAGTGGTGCAGCGGGTTGACCTGCAGCACACCCGCCAGCCCCTTGAGCACAGCAAGCCTGAACTCCTGAGCTGAGCATGGGCCAACAGATGTCAGCTGTCCAGTCTGTCTCCTTCCTGTAGTGGGGAGTGGAAGGAAAGAATGAAGAAATAAAAGAGAGTGGTAGCAGTTTCTTCCACCGTTACTGTCTTAAGAGAGAGGGAACTATTGATGGAAGTGTCTGGTTTATGGACAGAGAGAAGGAACAGTTTCTGCTCCAGTCTCATCTGAAGTATTATTGATTGTTGTGTCCCAAAGAAGCTAAAAGCAAGCCCACTCACTCGTACTTCGGTTTAAGAGAAAGAATTGGAGATTTTCCCTTTACTGGCCTCATTAAACAAAATGAAAATAGCTGAGCTGGGTATGACCTAGGTTGTTTCTTTTGAGTTCTGAAAAGTTTGAATTCTTATTTTCCCCAGGTTGCTGATATGGAATCTGGCAAACAGATTCAGCTGATCAACCGAAAGTCTCTACGATCTCTCACTGCCCAACTGCTGGTGTTGTTGATGTCTTGGGAAGGAACCACCTTCCTCTCTGTTGATGCGCTCAGGAGACATTACGAAAGCACCCACAGTGCTCCTCTCAACCCCTGTGAATATGGATTCATGACCCTGACCGAACTCCTGAAGAGTCTGCCTTACTTAGTTGAGGTACATGTGCTCATGGTTCTCTAGAACCTTCGTAATGGAAACCGCCGAATTGGGTATTTCTGATATTCGAGTGTGTAGAGGTAGAAGGGTCCTTGGAGATCACTGAAACCAGCTGGCCATTTTATAGATGAATAAACTGAGGCATAGGGAGGCGAAGGAACCCTGCCCAGATGAGTGACAGCCAGGACTAAAGCTCTGCTCTCCTGACGGGCTAGGGTGCTCTTGTCCTGCATTGGGGTGGAGTTTGCTGTCTTTATATCTTTCTGAATTAGAGGCTTTTGTGGTGGGTTTTTTTTTTTTTCCCCCTTGTTCTTTTGTTGTGTTTTTAAAGAATGCTAATGCCGTTGTCCTGCGTGACTGTATTCCTTAGAAAGCCAGTTAGGGAGATGAGGTGTGATGGCCTTGGTTGACTTTCTACCTTTTTACTCTTGGCTGGAGGCCTTCACTTCGGGGCGGGGGGAAGGAAGTCACTCACAAAGTTTGTCCTCCTCCTTTTTATTTTGGACCAGGTTTTCACTAATGATAATACAGAGGAATGTGTGAAGCTCACAAATCTGTATTTGTTTGCAAAGAACGTGCGGTCTTTACTTCATACTTACCACTATCAGCAGATTTTCCTGCATGAATTTCCCATGGCCTATGCCAAGTATGTCGGAGAAACACTGCAGCCGAAGTCATATGGCTACAGTAGTGTGGAGGAGCTCTTGGGGGCAATTCCTCAGGTGAGTGTTTTTCTGTGCTTCCTGAGGAGTGTCTTCCTGTAGAGTGCCCGGCTAAGTCTGCCGGAATAATAAGATGGAATCCTAATAAATAAAATAATAGTAATGAGGTGGTGGCAGGCTTTGAACTGATACTTTTAAAACCTACTGTTGGCATGAAATAAATGATCTTCATTTTTCTCACTCGTTCTGTAACTTTTGTTAAACTCCTGTGTGCCAGGTGAATAAGCCACAGGCCCTGCCTTTAGAAAGATGTCAGGTAACAGGAGAGTCAGGACAGAGACAGCTGCCGACAGACAAGGTGTTCAGTGCAGCGGTGCCAGGAGCCCTCTGTGCTCAGTGGGTGGGTTGACTTGAGGTAGGACATGAGCAGTCCCTGAGCAGTAAAGGGTGTGTAGAGGTCAACCAGGTGACCAAGAGGGGAATGGGCACCCCAGGTAGAGGGGACAGCGTGAGCAAATGCAGAGCAGTGAGAAGTGGCATCGGGTATTTGGGAATTAGAAACCATGCTGGAGCCCCCCGGTGAAGTCCGAGCTATACTGTGGAGGGCCTTGCTCCTCCAGGTGAGGAGTGGAGACCCTGCAGTGGAAAGAGCAGGAGCATGTCTTAGGTTTGCACTGCACACAGGTAGAGCTGAGAGAAGCGGCGTGGAGGAGGGAGCTTGGTTAGAATCCCGCTCATTGCAGAGGCCCAGGTGAGAGTTACGAAGGGATTGAGACAGAATGAAAGCAGTAGTTGAAGGAAGTAGTAGGGACCCATGTGGAGCATGCTTGGGTGCTGAGATCTGTGGGACTCGGTGACGGATTGCTTGTGGGGAGAGCTGGGAGCCAGGGGCCTCTGCTGCCTGTCTAACTTGGCCGAGGAGATGGAGAGCAGCACCATTGAGTGCATTATGATAATGGTTTAGTTGAGGGGTCTGCTGATCTCTTAATGCTCTCAGAGTGTGTTTAGTTTCAGGCAAAACTGGTAAGAGCTATCATGCGAGAAGTATCCTGATTTGTATGCCAGAACTGGTGTTTGGAGATGGTCTTTTTGAGTTATCAAGAGTAATTCTAATGGTTTTTAGTCTGCACAGCTTTTTATAAGGTGCATGTTTCTGTCACTTCTGTTACGTAAAAGCTAAACAAAGAGTATAGAGACATTTTTCTTGCCATTAATCCTAAATTCTAGTATGTTTAAGGCAGGCCCAGTAGGTCACGTGCTTCCTGAATTTTAGGGACTATTTTCCCTCCTTTTCCATTGCTTAACTAGTCGTTGTCTTGTGTGCAGGTGGTCTGGATAAAAGGACATGGTCACAAGAGAATTGTAGTGTTAAAAAATGACATGAAAAGTAAGTAAGCACCCCCCAACCCCTCTTAAAAACCCTGGTTCTGGCTGACGTTTCTCTCTCATGGTGCTTTTTGTCCTGTAGGTCGTCTGAGTTCACTTGGGCTTTCCCCTGCCAATCATGAAAGTCGGCTCTCAGATAATGAGCGGATCCTGGAGGTGCCGGAATCTCCCACAGCCTCGAAACTCAGCCTTGGAGTGGGTAGCAGTGGTAAGAGAAGAGAAATACAGCAAAACTTGTGAAATTCTAGGAGATATACTTGAAGCAGGGTTGGGGGAAGGGGCAAATGACAGCAACGGACCATTTTCATTAATTAAATATTCATACATTTTCAAAACACTTTTGGTGTTAGGTTAATAACAGAGAAAAAAACATTTGATAGCCTTTCATGGTTGACTAGTTAAGGTCCTTAAGAGATGTTGGCACCCCAGTTATGACAGTGTCAGCCCAATTGAGGACATCCCTGGGAAAGACTTGAGATATATACAGTGAAACTTGTGAGAGCTGGAACTCACCAGGACTGCCTTGTTTTCCAGGTCTTGCAAGTTTTCCACCTTTGACAGGATGCAGTCTTGCCACTTTTCTATTGCTCCTTTTAGTGGAAAACATTTGAATTTTCCTTTTCTGACAGGTTTCTGCCTTACACAGGTTCCGGCTTTCTCAGGTTTTTCTGTATATATATGTGCGTGTATGTATATATATGTGTATATCTGTATATGTTATTAGGTGCTGTCAAGTTGGTTCTGACTCAGTGACCCTGTGTACAACAGAATGAGACACTGCCCAGTCCTGCGCCATCCTCACAATCGTTTTACTTGAGCCCGTTGTTGCAGCTACTTTGTCAATCCATGTCATCAAGTGTCTTCCTCTTTTTTGCTGACCCTCTACTTTACCAAGCATGATGTCCTTGTCCAGGGACTGGTCCTTCTTGATAACATGTCCAAAGTATGTTTCCCCATCCTGGCCATATTTGTATGTATGTGTGTGTATATATATATACATATATATACACACATACATATTTTTAAATTTTATTGTGGTAAAATATAACAAAATTTTCCATTTTAACCATTTTTAGGTATACAATTCAGTGACATTAATTACACTCACCATGTTGTTCAACCATTACCACTATTTCCAAAACTTTGCCATCACCCCAAACAGAAACTCAGTACCCTTTAAAGGAATAACTCCCATTCTTCCCTGCCCCAGGCCCTGGCAACCTCTAATCTACTTTGATCTCTATGCGCTTGCCTATTCCAGATATTTCATATAAGTCACATCATACAGTATTTGTCTTTTTGTGGGAAAGACTTGATGTTAATGTATTAATATTACTCAAAATAAAATTGAGACATAGATTTTATGTAGAACCATTTCTATAATAGATACAAATGAACTTCCTTGAATTTTATAGCTCTTTTAACTTTATCAAAGGACTTTTGAGTCTGCTGTTACATATGAGAATTTTATGTTCACACAACTCTGCAAGATAGAAGTGTTATGTTCTCTATGTTTGCACGATAACTCCGTTATACAGCCCTTTGCACATTATAAAGCATCTCAGTGTAAATCATCTCCTTAGGCCTCATCACCACAACCTTGAGCACTAGTTCTCTCTAGTCTATCAATGAGGAGCTGCAGTTCCAGGAGGTTTTCTAGCTCACCCAAGATGGCACAGCTACGAAGTGACGGAATCAGGCCCCAAGTCTTCTAATTCTGAGCTTTGCTTTTTTACTACTATATACTGTTTCTGGTTTTTTTCTTTCCCTACTTTGGAAGCTGACTGTGGAACCCTTTTTTCTCGACTGGGGCCTCTTAAGGGACTGGTGCTTCTGAAAACAAATTGGGAGATACTAGCTTGTGGCATTTTATTTACCAAAGAATTATCCAGATCTTTCCGTTAATGGATTTTTTTTTTTTTTTTTTTTTAACTTTCAATCTTCCTGACTTTTTTTTAGTAGTTAAGAGTTTGGCTGCTAACCAAAAGGTCGGCAGTTTGAATCCACCAGGCACTCCTTGGAAACGCTACGGGGCAGTTCTCTGTCCTATAAGGTCACTGTGAGTCGGAATCGACTCAACGGCAATGGTTTCGTTTTGGTTTGGTTGGTAGAAACATACATAACAAGACATTTGCCATTTGCACATTTATTATGTGTATAATTCAGTGACATTAATCATGCTCTTGTTGTGCAACCATCAGCACTACCCATTGCCAAATTACTCCCTTACCATTAACAGAAGCTCAGTGCCCCCATTAAGTAATAATTCCCACTCCCTCCCATCCCTGCTGACTGCTGATAACTTTGGTCTCTGTGCATTTGCTTATTCTAGATACTTCATGTAAGTGAGATCATACCACTGTCTTCTGTGACTGACTTATTTCAGCATGTTTTCGAGCTCTTCTTGGCCTTTTTAATTGTTGTTGTTGATAGGTGCCGTCGAATCGGTTACGACTCATAGCGACCCTACGTACAACAGAACGAAACACTGCCGGTCCTGTGTCATCCTCACAGTCGTTGGTATGCTTGAGTCCATTGGTGCAGCCACTGTCAGTCCATCTCGTTGAGGGTCTTCTTCTTTTTCAGTGACCCTCTACTTCACCAAGTATGATGTCCTCCTTCAGGGACTGGTCCCTCCTGATAATATGTCCTAAGTATGTGAGATGTAGTCTCACTGTTCTTGCTTCTAAGGAGCACTCTGGTTGTACTTCTTCGAGATAGATTTGTTCATTCTTTTGGCAGTCCATGGTATATTCAATATTCTCCACCAGCACCACAGTTCAAAGGTGTCAGTTCTTTTTCAGTCTTCCTTAGCCATCGTCCAGCTTTCACATGCGTAGGAGACGATTGAAAACACCATGGCTTGGGTCAGGCGCACCTTAGTCTTCAAGGTGACATCTTTGCTTTTTAACTCTTTAAAGATGTCTTTTGCAGCAGATTTGCCTAATGCAATGCGTCCTTTGATTTCCTGACTGCTGCTTCGATGGGCATTGATTGTAGATCCGAGTAAAATGAAATCCTTGACAACGTCAGTCTTTTCTCCATTTATCATGATGTTCCTTATTGGTCCAGTTGTGAGGATTTTTGTTTTCTTTGTGTTGAGCTGTAATCCATACTGAAGGCTGCGGTCTTTCATCTTCCTCAGTAAGTGCGTCCTCTTCACCTTCAGCAGGCAAGGTTGTGTCATCTGCATAACGCAGGTTGTTAATGAGTCTTCCTCCAGTCCTGATGCCCCATTCTTCTTCATGTAGTCCAGCTTCTCAGATTATTTGCTTAGCATACAGATCGAATAGGTATGGTGAAAGGATACAACCCTTAGGCACACCTTTCCTGACTTTAAACCACGCAGTATCCCCTTGTTCTGTTCATATAGCTGTCTCTTGATCAGTGTACAGGCTCCTCATGAGCACAATTAAGTGTTCTGAAATTCCCATTCTTTGCAGTGTTATCCATAATTTGTTACGGTCCACACTCTCTAATACCTTTGCATAGTCAATAAAACACAGGTAAACATGTTTCTGGTATTCTGTGCTTTCAGCCAGGATCCGTCTGACATCAGCAGTGATATCCCTCGTTCCACATCCTCTTCTGAATCTGGCTTGAATTTCTGGCAGTTCCCCGTCAATATACTGCTGCATCCGCTTTTGAATGATCTTCAGCAAAATTTTACTTGTGTGTGATATTAATGATATTGTTTGATAATTTCCACATTCGGTTGGATCGCCTTTTTTAGGAACGGACATAAATATGGATCTCTTCCAGTCAGTTGGCCAGGTAGCTGTCTTCCAAATTTCTTGGCATAGATGAGTGAGCACTTCGAGCACTGAATCCATTTGTTGAAATATCTCAATTGATACTCCATCAGTTCCTGGAGCCTTGTTTTTTTGCCAATGCCTTCAGTGCAGCTTGGACTTCTACCTTCAGTACCATGGTTCCTGATCCTACGCTACCTTCTGGAATGGTTGAACGTTGACCAATTCTTTTTTGGTATGGTGACTCTGTGTATTCCTTCCATCTTCTTTTGATGCTTCCTGCATCATTTAATATTTTCCCTGTAGAATTCTTCAGTATTGCAACTTGAGGCTTGAATTTTTTCTTCAGTTCTTTCAGCTTGAGAAATGCCAAGCATGTTCTTCCCTTTTGGTTTTCTATCTCTAGGTTTTTGCATATGTCATTATAATACTTTACTCTGTCTTCTCAAGCTGCCCTTTGAAATCTTCTGTTTTGCTTTTACTTCATCATTTTTTCCTTTCACTTTAGCTACTTGACGTTGAAAAGCAAGTTTCAGAGTCTCCTCTGACATCCATTTTGGTCTTTTCTTTCTTTCCTGTCTTTTTAATGATTTCTTGCTTTCTTCATAGATGATGTCCTTGATACCATTCCACAGCTCGTCTGGTCTTCAGTTATTAGTGTTCAACGCATCAAATCTATTCTTGAGATGTTCTCTAAATTCAAGTAGGATATGTACTCAAGGTCGTACTTTGGCTCTCATGGACTTGTTCTAATTTTCTTCAGTTTCAACTTGAACTTGCAAATGAGCAGTTGATCTGTTCTGCAGTCGGCCCCTGGCCTTGTTCTGACTGATGATATTGAGCTTTTCCATCATCTCTTTCCATGGATGTAGTGGATTTGATTCCTGTGTATTCCATCTGGCCAGGTCCACGTGTATAGTCACCATTTATGTTGGTGAAAAAAGGTATTTGCATTGAAGAAGTCGTTGGTCTTGCAAAATTCTGTCACAGGATCTCCGGCATCGTTTCTGTCACCATGGCCATATTTTCCAACTACCAGTCCTTCTTGTTTCCAACTTTCGCATTCCAATCACCAGTAATTATCAATGCATCCTGACTGCATGTTCGATCAATTTCAGACTGCAGAAGCTGGTAAAAATTTTCAGTTTCTTCATCTTTGGCCTTAGTGGTTGGTGCATACATTTGAATAATAATTGTATTAACTGGTCTTCCTTGTAGGCATATGGATTTTATCCTATCACTGACAGTGTTGTACTTCAGGATAGATCTTGAAAAGTTCTTTTTGACGATGAATGCAACACCATCCCTCTTCAAGTTGTCATTCCTGGCGTAGTAGACCATATGGTTGTCCAATTCAGAATGGCCAGTACTAGTCCATGTCGGCTCACTAATGCCTAGGATATCGATGTTTATGCATTCCATTTCATTTTGAACGATTTTCAATTTTCTTAGATTCATACTTACATTGCACGTTTTGAGTATTAATGGATGTCTGCAGCTGTTTCTTCTCATTTTGAGTCGTGCCACATCAGCAAATGAAGGTCCCAAAAGGTTGACTTCATCCACTTCATTAAGGTTGACTCTACTTCAAGGAGGCAGCTCTTTCCCGGTCATATTTGGAGTGACTTCCTACCTGGGGGGCTCATCTTCTAGCACTATATCAGACAGTGTTCCGCTGCTATCCATAAGGTTTTCACTGGCTAATTCTTTTCAGAAGTAGGTCCTTCTTCCTAGTCTGTCTTAGTTTTGGAAGCTCAGCTGAAACCTGTCCACCACGGGTGACCCTGCTGGTATTTGAATACCAGTGGCATAGCTTCCAGCATCGCAGCAACACGGAAGCCCCCACAGCACAACAAACTGACAGATGTGTGGGGGTTTTAATCATTAAGACTTAGAAAATCTCAGGTGTAAACTCAGTATTTCTGCTTGTGGTAGACTGTTATCCCAGAGTCTGACCTGCCTTCTGTGCCCAGGTCCCAGTCAGACGGAGCAGGAGCTTCTCCGCCTGACCAGCAGCTCTCCTGTTGACCTCCTGTGTGAGCCTGTCCCTTCGTGTTTGCCGTCCCCTCAGCTGAGACCAGATCCCGTCATCCTCCAATCTGCTGATCTCATCCAGTTTGAGGAACACCCTCAAGATCCTTCTGGTAGGGTACATTGCGTTCTTGTGGGAGTTTTCCTTGTGGGTTAAAAAAAAAAAGCCACAATGCCAGTATATTGAATGTTTGATTGGGGTTGGGGGGTTTTATACCTTTTCAGGCATAAAAATACCCATGCTTACTGTTCAGGACCTTCTTCCCCTGCCTGGGTTCCTGCAAAATTGGATTTGTAGCCTGAGGGTGCTTGGGGAGCATCAGGCAAGGGAACGGTTTGGGGGAGTCTGGAGGGCTGACACAGCTGGGCTCTGCAAAAGCCGTGGGGGTTGGTACATGGAGTGCCTCCTGGCTTTCCATTCTCCCACGTTCTTCTCACCCTTTTGAAAGGTGCAGGGACCAACCGGCACACCTGTCACCAAATGTACACATTACCCCAGGCCTGGACCTAGAGTTGGATGACTCCAGAGAGTGCTAGGACTTTGAGGTTATGAATAGGGGAGGGAGGGAGGTATGTATGACTTGAGCCCCTGGGATCCGCTCACTAATCTGGGAACGGAGAGGAAACTGAATATGTTGAGCACCTACTTAGGCCAATGCTGAATTGAGTACATTCCGCATGCTGCTCTCTTGTGTCTCACACTGCCTGCCGACCCTGTGCCAGGGGCTGACACTGTTACATTCCTCACACTGCCCTAGTGCATCTCACACCGCATGCTGACCCTGTGTTGGGGGTTGACACTGTCACATTCCGCACACTGCCCTAGCGTGTCTCACACTGCCTGCTGACCCTGTGCGGGGGGCTGACACTGTCACATTCCGCATGCTGCCCTAGTGTGTGTCATACTGCCTGCCGACCCTGTGCCGGGGGCTAACACTGTCACATTCCGCACACTGCCCTAGTGTGTCTCACACTGCTGCCGACGCTGTGCGGGGGGCTGACACTGTCACATTCTGCACGCTGCCCTAGTGTGTCTCACACTGCTTGCTGACCCTGTGCTGGGGGCTGACAACACTGTCACATTTAATTCTTGCCACAACTCAGAAGTCGGGGCATCACTCCCGCTGTACAGGTTAGGTGACTGAGGTGTAGCTTGTGACATGAAAAGAGGAAACTGGCCCAGGCTACTTGGGTAGGAAGTGGCAGAGCCAGGATATGGACCCCAAGCCTCTTGTCTTCCTGCTGTGCCCCCAACCCCCTGAGAGGTGGCCACCTGCTCTGTAGCGGTCCTTCCGATTGTCTGAAGCTGTTGTGACCCATTCTTCCCCACGCTGCCATCCAGAGTCTCACAGGGCATCCTGGTGACTTTGGGGTGGATCTTCACAGTCCTTGGTGTTCTGAAGCTGCTCTTGGCCCTGCTGCCGAGTGAAAGGACTGAAGGAGATGGGGGAACGCGATAACGCGATAACTACCTCGGAAGAGCGAGCCTTCGAAGGGGGTAGACTTGCACTGTGTTCCTCTGGAATGAACTCCTAGAGTTAGTGGGAGACAGTAACTCTCCCATGGGGTTGTAGTCTTTGGGCATTTAGTATAGATGAGTTCAGCCGTATGCATGTGACGAGGGATAATTTGAACAGTGGGCAGTTCTCTCTGCCCTTGTCCTTGGTGTCAGCCTGAGGAGGGCGCTGGGGCTCTGCCGTCGCATCAGTCTTGTCTCCCCTGTGCCACTCGTAGTGAGAACCCGTTGCTGTGGAAGTCTAAGTTAAAAAATACATACATTTCAAATAACGTAACTTTGTGGCTTAGCCAAAAGAACAGTGATCTGTAAACACTGCAGGAGAATTGGCTGTGTCTGACTTCCTGGATTTCCGAGGGTCATACTGACTATATGCAATTTTTACCTCACTCCCTGGCATTAGAGCCACGCAGAGTACAGTTCCTCTGTAAACAGAACGGGCCAGCAGCTCCCTGACACCGCGGTCCCCCCTGATCAGAAAGTCTTTAAGTCATGTGTGACCTGTGGGCCCTTAGCTACCTGGCAGAGAGTTGAATAGGCAGACAGTCCAAAGTGGGAAAGATTTTCAAACCATTGCCCATTGGTCTATTACCAGAAACCAAGATCTCTAAAACCCTGAAATCAGCAGAGCGGTGAGGCGCAGTTTATGTATGTGACAAACTTTTGGCTACACAGCTAAATGTAGACTGTGGCGTAGGTGTGACATTCAGGGGGTTATTAAATCAATACTGTTTTTGAGAAAATAGGAGAGAGAAACTGAAAACCAAGACACTTCTTACAAGAGCTGGAACTTAATTTGTTTGCTTTTCTGTGTTTACAGAAATTATGATTTTAAACCAAGAAGAGAGCATTGAAATTCCAGTCCCAATAAAGAATGAACAACTTACCTCTGGCTCCAGGTCAGCTTGTGTCTCAGCAGCTGCCCCCGAGCCTCCCTGCCCCTCCTTGGAAGCCCCCGAGTCGCTACCCAGCCAGGACCGTGTGGAAAGCCCAGCCAAAAAGCAACCCAAAAATAGAGTAAAATTGGCTGCCAACTTTTCCTTTGCACCTGTAACCAAGCTTTGACTCTCATTTTGAACATAGAATGGGGAAATGCTGTCTGATTCTGCACACAAAAGTGGGTTCAAAAAAAAAAACATCCTTTTCTGTTGTAATGAAATCCCCTGGAAGCCACTTCCTTCGTCTTTAGATGTCTTCCTTACTGTTTTTGTTTCTTGTACATTGAACACAGCTTTAAGCTGAAGTTTTGTTCCCTTCTCTGCCCCCCACAATGATTTGAAAAATTTCTGGCACTTGTTAATGAATCCTTAATTTATTGTACCAAATTTTTCTTAACTATTATGAAATATAATGGTGTTCCATAAAAAGAGAGCAGTAAGAACTCAGCTAGAAAGAAGGGGTTTTACTTCCACTAAGCCGCAATCGTGGTCTAATCCTATATGTAGCATAATATAGTCTCTAAGTCTTTGCTTACTGATGTTGTCAGACAGTATTAATCAAATGCATGATGTGTCCTTGAAACAAAGCCTGTTCCGTGATTGTGCATACTTACACACCAAAGGAGAAGGCAGGCGGGGAGCTGAGAGTCTGTTTTCAGTTGAGGAGATGAAAGTTCCACGTGACTTGTAGTGTGCCTTGTTTTTTATTTAACCATGTCTGTAGTTGACAAATGTGACTTCATGACAAAATTTTTTAAATATTTCCACTTTGGGGTTCCATTTAGGAGCTTTCTAGAAAGTTGAGGGTGTTTTAAGCTTCCCTTTTATGTTAAGTTCCAAGTTGCTATAGATTAGGTTAAGGAAAAGGAGATGGTCTCGGTGTCATGAATTTAAAGTCAGCATTGGAATTACAGCACACATTATTGTGTGTCGAGAGGCAGTATTGGGAAGAGAGTCTGATTTTCTAAAATATGCATCAAATGCATAAATTACAAATCAGAGCTGAGTGGTGAGGTGCTTTAACAGGAGCGCTATCCATACTATTTCCACTAGGAAGAGAGAGAAATTCTGTCAATGCATACGAAGGCCAAGGTTGATCAACTTAACCTTGTTTTTGTCATTTTAAGGCTGGTTTTGGTAGCTGGGAAGCTTTATGTATGAGTATATATGTGTTTGTGTGTGGTTGGCTTAGCGTCTTTTAATGGCGTTTGTTTTTACTCCGTTACTTCTCGCTGTCGGAAGCGTGCTTGGGTTTGTCAGTGGTGTCTCATGTCTCCGCCAGTCCTGAGGAAGCGCTGCACTGTGGGATGACCTCACTCTCGAGTTGACCGAGGCATGTCCGGTGACGGGTGGCCTCATAGTCCTCCTGGAGAACCCGACATTTACAATGGGTTGTATTTGTTGGGCAAAAAGGCAGATTCATGGAGCAGAAAGAACCTGTTGTGCAAGGTCTTCCGCTAGTTAGAAGGTTTCTTTTTTGGGGAAATGTTGATAGTTTGTAATTTCTAGAAAGCCAGAAAACAGGCTCTGACTTCATAGCCAGCATTTTGATAAAATGCCACAAAATAAGGGCTATTGAGAGATTTTTACAGGTTAGATTTTTGTTCCCCAAATCTTTTAAATGAAGCCAGTGATTCCCAGTGCTCAACACACGGCCTCAGTCCAGATGGAACAACACTGAAAGACCTAAGCATTACGGCGTTCTGGGAATCCTTCTGAAGACGTTTCTTCTGCAGACATAGTGTTACAGGAAGTAAAATGCAAATGTGCAGTTTCTTTTTTTTTTTTCAAAGAAGCTTTTAAACAACACGATAAAGCTGGTGATGAGAACATCAGTTGCCTTAGTCAGAGATTTCTTAAGGCAACTTTGCACACTTGGACTTGAGTTTCGCTAGCGTGTAAGGGCTTATGGGCTTTCAAAATGTAAGAGGTCTCATTACAAGTCACTAGGAACAGTCTCGAAGAACAGGTTCTTTGGGCTGCAGATGAAGACGTTGTAGTTACGCGCTGTCGTGTGAGTTAGTCACCATTGCCACTCACTGGAGCCGCCAGCCAGGCTGAGACGCATGGGCGACTAACAATGGCTGTTTGAAAATGTGGGAGTACGGCAGAAGCACGTTGTGTCCATAATGTATTTCACAATGGCCAGTCCAATTGGTATCTATTTTTTTATCCAGAGGCTTAATTAAATGATGTGACAAAATAATGTATGAGAATTAAGACAATGAAGTTCGTTCTTTCTGGGTGGAAAGGTGTACCAGATTGTCTGTTTAAAAAAAGACAGAAGTTATCACCCAAACCCCCTTTCCCATCTTGCACTGTTTGTTTTGGATTGGGCTCGGGGGAAGAGATATTTTTCTTAACTGTCTACTTTGTTTGAACACTTTTTTTTTGTGGTTTAAGTGCTGTTCTGTGTGTTGGGACCAAACAGTTGTCAATAAACTTTACAAGCAAGCATCTGATTTGAGTTTTCCAAACGAGTGGTTTTGTTTGTTTGTAGGAATTATCAACCAGTCCAGTTCTGTCTTTCACGTTCCATTTTGGGCATCCCCAGCTCCTCACCCCTTCTGGAAATAATAGTGCTGTGAAGGAAGAAGAGGCAAACACACTGGCCTGACATTTAGAGGCCCTTTTAATTCAGCATCCTCCCTGGTCAGGGGCCTGGGCCTTTGTGGTCAGGGTCTTCTGAGTCTCCCAGCCTTAGTTCCAGCTTACGCCCGTGTGTGGGCAAATACAATAACCACAAACACCCTCCAGTTACAAAACTGGTGTCATCCCTAGGATTTCTTCTTCTGTGACAGAGACCCAGTTTGCATGCTACCTTGTTTTCAATCACTGCTAAGCATGCTTTTGGAATAAGCCATTTTGGAAAAGACTTCTTTCACAGATTCAATTATGAAGCCCCTCCCCCGAGACCACCACTACCCCCTCACCATCCCAGTCACCCCTTGCAAGAACTTTAAAGGACCTAGAAGGACCTGAATGTTCGCGCAAATTGTTCCTTGATGAAGTGCAATTTTTTTTAAGTTCAAAGTTTAACTCTTCAAAACCTTTGGCAATCCTTTCGAAAACACATTTGATGGTAGGAAATGTTCACAGAAAAGGCTGAGCTGCCACCATGCACCCCTTAGAGCAGGACAGGAGGTCTCACAGGACAAGGTTGGAGTTTGAAATGTGCCATCACATTTCTCTTGGTGCATTTCCCACCTGCCATGGTTTGGAGACGCCAGCTCGAGGCTGTGGCTGAGTGGAAGCAGACCTTTCCACACCGGTGTAATATAACTTGCCTGAGACCCATCTGCTCTCCTAGGCCCTGACTCCAGGTGATCTTCTGAACTGCCTGCAGTTAACCACCTGTGCCTTTACCTGCAGGCAGGGTGCTTCCTGCTTCGGGATTTATCTCGGGTTTCTAGCTGCATCACGTGGGCCAAGAGTAAGTCACATCTGGGAAGCCCTCCTGTTTCCTCCCCATCACCAGGGTCTTGGTTTTGCCTTCATTTGGTCTTGGGAGTGGGATAGGTTGCATACTGGCTGTAGGCGGGGCGGAGGGTGGAGAAAGGGAAGGTGCAGTAACCCTGACTCACTGTCCATCAGCCAGGGATCAGAGCAGCCCCCATCATGGCTTTACTTGACCTTGCGGTCTCCTGCGTTGCTTTACTTCAGGCTGTCACAGTAAAGGAGCCCTGGTGGCGCAGTGGTTAAGAGCTATGGCTGCTGACCAAAAGGTCGGCAGTTAAATCCACCAGCTACTCCTTGGAAACCTATGAGACGGTTCTACTCTGTCCTATACGGTCACTATGAGTCGGAATCAACTCGATGGCAATGGGTTTGATTTTGTTTTGCTATACTAACTGACAGAAGCCCAGGTGGCGCGGTGGTTAAGCCCTCAGCTGCTAACTGAAAGCTTCTCAGTTGGAATGCACAAGCTGCTCTGTGGGAGAAAGATGTGGCAGTCTGCTTTCGTAAAGCTTACAGCCTTGGAAACCCTATGGGGCAGTTCTACTCTGTCCAGTAGGGTCGCTGTGAGTCATTATCAACTCGAGCGCGTTGGGTTTGGTTGGTTTTTATTGTTCTAAGGAACCCCAGTGGTGCAGTGGGGCAGCTCTACTCTGTTTCATATGGTCACTGTGAGTTGGAATCAACTTGACAGCACATAACATTATTCTCCCTGATTTGCAGATCTTGGCTACTGAGGTGCAGGGGGTGAAGAAAATTCCCAGGCTCACACAAGAGCGGGGGGGTCAAGCTGCGATTTTAACCCAGTCTGACTCTAAACTGAAGCCCTTAATCAGTGTTCTAGATTGTTTTCCCTTTTGCTAATCCTGGTCAGTGGGCTTTGTTCAGACTGAACACTGTTGAGGGGGCCTCAACCTGCCTCCTCTCCCATAGCCCTGGCTCCCGCACTAGAATGTAAGTTACATGAAGGCAGGACAGGGCCTGTCTTATCCTTCTCTGTTCCCTGTTGTTACTGGGTGACGCTGAGTCAGTTTTGACTCCTAGTGACTCTATAGGACAGAGTAGAACTGCCCCATAGGGTTTCCAAGGCTCTACTCTTTATGGAAGCAGACTGCCACATCTTTCTCCCACAGAGCAGCTGGTGGGTTCAAACCAATGACCTTTCAGTTAGCAATTGAGCGCTTAACCATTGTACCACCAGGGCTCTTTCTGTGCTCTCCAGCACCCACCAAGTACCTCACTAACCAGTGGGATTAACTAAGGAATTAACAAGAGGGAAATAAGCTGACATGTGTCCCTTAGGCCAGCCTTACTGAGTGCTTTGCCCCAGCCTATGATGCCCTCTGGGCTGCCCTGTGCTGGCGAGTGTATGAGGCCTGGCTGGTGGCTTCAGCACCTTGGAACTGCTGCTTCTCAAGCTGCAGATGAGCTGGGATGCTGAGCCCTGCAGCTCAGGGCTGTCCAGCCATGGCGGAAGTAAAAGTTTACAGGAAGCTCAGCTGCTGCTGGTGTGGCCATGAGTCAGCCCTAATCAATTACAGATGAACAGGAACCAGGCTGGAAATGTAAACTCAACACCTAGGCCTGCTGACACTGTTCCACCCATAGCCTGAGGTCCCCTCAGAACATAAGGTAGGAGTTGAGGAACCCAGACTTAAATCCTAGCTTCACCACTTATCTGCTGTGTAACCTTGGGCTAATTACTTCCCCTCTCTGAGCTCCGTTTCCCCACCTCCAGTGGAATAGTGGATGCGGGACACTCCCCTGCCTGATGTATCTGGCTTCCATGCCAGCACATCCCCACAAGGGCTCTCCCTTACCAACTACATCCTATTTGCAAAATCCTGTGGGCATTTTCATAAAGTTTTTAAGGTCACATGTTCTCTGGGCCAAGTTAGACTCTGTGGAACGCACCCTTGAAACTTTGCCCAGTTTTCCTTATTCCTCCCTGGTTGTTCCTACCCAGTCCCTTTTGTCTGTTCCCTTAAGCACTGGCAAAAGCAAAAGAATAGAGCTGGAGGGGTGGTTGGAAGGGAGGTGGGAATGGCAGGTAGGGGCTGGATCATGGAAGGCTTTGGAAACAAGGCCAAGAATCCAAGACTTACCATGAGGACCGTGAGAAGGTAAAGAAGAGTTTTAAACTGGGAAGTGACTGGGTAGAGTTACACTTCAGGAATCATTTGGCTTCAGGGAGGAGTACAGGTAGACTAGGAAAGGGTGACGAGAAAAGGAGTGGTGGGGAGTCTGAGAGTTCTTAGAGAAGGAATAGCGTGTGAAGGGCCAGGAGCAACAGGGAACATGGCAAGAAGAACCAAAGAACCAAGAGAAGGCTTCTGTGGTCCCAGCATAAAGAGGGGGCCAGGAGAGGGGCATGAGATGAGGCTAAGGAAGTGGGAAGGGGTCAGATCAGAGGGCCTTTCAAACCATGTGAAACAGTATGGACTTCATCCTAAAGGCCATGGGAATGGCTTCAAAGAGGGGCATGACAATGAGATTTACATTATTCAGAAAATCACGTGGCTGGAGTGTGGTAAATAAATTCAAGGGGAAAAGGCCAGTGTTCAGGCCAGTTGGTGGCTACCTTGGGGGCATGGCAGTATGAACAGTCTAGACATACCAACCAGTTGCCATTGAGTCAGTTCCCACTCATGGCCATCCTATGTGTGTCAGGATAGAACTATGCTCCATAGGGTTTTCAGTGGCTGATTTTTCAGAAGTATATTGCCAGGCTTTTCTTCCAAGGTGCCTGAGGGTAGACTCAAACCAGCAACCTTTCAGTTGGCAGCCAAGGGCATTAACTGTTTGCATCACCCAGGGACAGAGATATTTAGGAGGCAGAAATAAAGACATAGTACTTGAATGGATACAAGAAGCAATAGAGGAGTCAAGGAGAAGTCCTAGGAAAATCCTTGGCAACTGTGTGGGGGGCACTTTGCTGAGATGAAAAACACACAGGTGAAGCTAAGCTCAGTTTAGGACAGAGGTCAGTAAACTTTTTCTGAAAGGACCAAAGAGTAAATATGGTAGGATTTGTGGGCCGTATCATCTCTCTGATAGCTAAACTCTGCCATTGCGGTGCAAAACCAGCCACGGACAGTATGGAAACAAATGGACATGGCTGTGTGCCAAACTTTATTTACAAAAACAGACAGCAGACAGGATTCGGCCCGTGGGCTGTAGTTCACCGACCCCCGGTTTTGGACATGTTACATTTGATGTGCCTACTCTGTATTCAAGTGGAGAGCCTCAGGAAGCAGTCAGGAAAATGGTCTGAGCTCAGGAGAGAGGCCTAGGCTGAAGAGAGACGCTGGGGAATCATCAGAGTGTAGACAGCCATTGAAGATATGCCAGGAGGGGTGAGATCAGGAGAGGGGGGTGTGAACAGAATGCCGAGGGCCAGGCCCTGAAGATGAGAAAGGTTTAAAGGAGACTGGAGAAGGGTCCACCTTTGAGGTGGGAGGCAATCAGGTAAAATGTGTGTTGTATCAAATGCTGCCAAGAACTAGGATACGTGGAAGGCTAAAAAACACCAATTGGATATAACCAAACAGAGGTCACTGTTGACCCTGGTGAGAGGGTGGCAGGAGGATGACAGAAGCCAGAATAAAATAGGTTGAGGAGGAAGCAGAGGTTAGGACAATGGAGACAGGAAGACTCTGGATGGTACTAAAGAAGTAAGGCTTGAAGATGTAGAGAGGTGGGAGCTGCAAGGAAAGACTGGATGTAGGGACTTTTTTTTATTGTAGAGATTTGTTTCAATGCTGACTGGAAGAGAAAGGAGTGAGGGGATAAGAATGGTGACCCCATTGCTAACTACCATGGGGCCTTGCGAAAGACCTTACCTTCTACTTCCTCAGCTATAAAATGGACATAATAACAGGATCTGCCTCCTTGGGTTGATATGAGGAGCAAACGCGATAATGTGCAGACAGTGTTCTGCACACAGTGATATGCTCTCACCAAAGGGTATTCCTGTTATTCTCCCACCTGGCTTCCGGAAGGAGCACGTCTGGGTGTGCAGAACTCTAAGGTTCACACTTCCCAGCTTTGCAGGCAGCCCTGGTGATGGGGAACCTCTTGGATAATGACTTTCCTCTGCTCTTCCATGAAAGCCTAAATCAATGCTTCTTCTGTTTTTTGTAAAATCAGTAGCAATAGCAGGAGCATAAGTTAGGTCTACCCCAGGGCTTCACGGATGTGCTGGAGGCAGGATTTTTATGAGTTTCAATCTCTGGCTTGTTGGATCAGTGAGTGACTGTTGTCTAATTGGTCCAAAGTCAGGCTTCCAGACACATGTTTTCAGTGGGGAAAGGAGAGCCGCAGGCCCTTTGCTGCCTGGGGATTTTACTGTGAGTTAGTTGGGAGGGTCTGGCTTCACGCTTGATCCAGGGTAGTGAAGGAGGACATGGTGTCCCCTAAGGCAAGCGTGTGGCACTGGCAGTGGCTTGGGGAATGGCAGGAAGTGAAGTGCAGCCGAAACCTGGACTGAACCCAAAACACATGGGAGATAGTGACACTGAAGAGCTGGGGAAGGGGTGAGAGGGGCCCTCGAGCCAGCCCACTCCAGAGTCCATACTTAGAGTGACTTTGTGTAAACTCCAAAGCTGATGTGACCAGAGGGACATTCAGATTAACTTTCAATTTATAAATATTTTGAAAATGTTATTGGTTCATGCTGAATAGTTTTAGTAGAGCTTCCAGACTCAGATGGACTAGGAAGAAAGGCCTGGCAATCTACTTCATAAAATCAACCAGTGAAAACCCTGTGTATCACAATGGTCTGATCCCGTTGTGCATGAGGTCATCATGAGTTGGGGTCCGACTTAATGGAAGCTAACAGCAACACTCCTTAATGGTCCAGTAATGGTATGTGTAGGAGTCTTAAGGAGAAATCAGAAATCCTCATGAAGCTGTATTCCCCAGGATATTGTTGGCAACATTATTTATAAGACTTAAAACCCAGAAGCAGCTAAGTGTCAAAATAGTGCGGAAATGGTTAGAGGAGTTATGGTATATCCACAAGATGGATTAATAAGCCACTGAAAATATCTGTGAAGAGTGTTTAATATTTTACAAAGAGTTTTTAATGATGTGGGTGAACGATAGTGATATAATGCTAAGTGGAAAAAAAATGGTTACAAATGGTACAATATGAGGCCAATCATGGAAAAAAAAAATTCTGTAACTTCATACTTTCTGAATGGTCTACTGTGTACACAGATTACTTCTATAATCCAGAGGAAAAGTGAAAAACTTTTAAAATGCTGTGTATGTGGCTTCCATTTTTATTTTCTCTGATGGATGGTTGCACATCAGTGAATCTTGAGTTAGGCCAACTACTGAGGCCCGTCACGACACACACACGAGTACAGAGAGGTCACAAAGGCTGTGCCTGGCTGGCTGTAGCAAATGCACAACGAGTTACATGGATGGAACTGTTAGGCTGGTTAAAGTACACCACCAAGTGATGGGACAGGGTTGGGTCAGGCCGCCTCTCCCGCCTGTTGCTGCTGTCTCCTGATGGACGCAAGGTCTACATGCAAGGCTGGTGAGATGGCGTTTTGCTGGCACTCCCTCTGGGCCCCGTAGTGGGCAGGGAGAGCATCCTCTCTGGTCCCTTTCCGTCTGCCCTGCCTTGGACGTTGGAGCTTCCAGCTCCTTGCTGCCTCTTCTGAGCACTGGGTCTGCTCCAGCCTGGCCTCCCTGTCCCCACTCTGCTCCCCACCTGAGACAGACGCTGCAAGGGGAGGAAGAGCCAACAGCGCAGTGGACACACCCTGATGTGAACAATGCCCAGACACAGGCGGGGAGGAAGCGGGAGACGTGACCACAACACCACACACAAGCACAATCTTTACAGATGGACCCTCTGTGTCCCCGAGAATGCCACACCTATGGCGCCTGAGAGACGTGTGGGCTATGTGGAGCCCTCCAGGGCACAGCGCCTGGGGAGGGGACAGAGGAGACAGACGGGATGGAGCTGTGCCCATTTGGGGCAGGCCTGACAGCAGAGCAGAGGGTGAATGGGGGATGTGTTCAACATGGTCCTAGGTGGTTGAGAAGTTACAACTGTACACACCGGGGGACCATGCCCCTCTCCCAGTCCATTCATACAGTGGGTTAGATACAGCTAGATAAAAGTGGAGATATACTTTTTCGAAGGAGGACCTTTCCTGGTAGCTGGATAAACGGTGAGACACACTTCTGGATTCAGCATGCTCTGGGGAGGGCCATGCGACGGTGAGGGACTCCCTATTGCTACACTCTGTACAGGGCGGCTGGGCCTGCCTGCCGCGCCCATGGCCCCTGGCGGCAGTCACAGGCTTGCCTTCAACCCCTTCCGCCTTAGAGAACTCTTGGGCCCCGGTGAAATGGGGGCTATGAAGACAAGAGGGTGGGAGGGGGTCCCCGTGGCCCCGGGGGCACCCCACATGGGGGCTACATGATGTTGCACTGGGTGGCCCCACAGCAATCCTTGATGAGCGCCAGCCCCGTCTTGGCCACCATGGGCTTGCTAGGTGGAGGCTCTGCTTTCTTCTCTGCCCGGGAGCCTGTGGCAAGGTAGGAGCACAGAGGGAGAGAGGGAGAGATGAGGTGAGGAGAGCCCTGACCATTTGCAGCTCCAGCTCCACCCCAACCCCTGGCCAGGGCTTGCTAAACTCCACAGGCCAGGTGGTGTGGCAATGAGAGCTGATGTGTATTTTAAATGGTACTGGTGACAGTTGTCACCTCCCTCTGGGCCCAATGGCTTTCAGTTCACAGCTTCCAGCCACAGCTTTTCACCCTTACCTATTCAGCTCTCTTCATCAAAGCATGTGCCAAGCCTAGCACAGGGCCTGGTATTCAAGAAGTATTTGGTAAATGGATAAACAGCAAATTTTGTTCAAGTCACTTTATTCTGAGGGCTCATGTCTTTCAATTCTGGAAAATGCTCATACATTATCTTTTCAGATATTCTTCTACCTCCATTACCTGTTTTCTTGCTTTTTGGAATGCCTATTAGATGTAAGTTGGACTTTCTTACTCTGTCCTCCATGTCTTATAACCTCTCTTTTGTATCTTCTATCTCTTTGTCTCTCTGTGTTGCATTCTTGGTAATTTCCTCAGATCTGTTTTCCAGTTTATGAAGCTTCTCTTCAGCTGTGTCCCTGTGTTTAATCTGGTCTTTAACCCATCTGTTGAGTTTTCCCTTCAGTGACAATATTTTTTTAAGAAGTTTTTTTTTTTTTGCAAATCTACCTATTCTTTTTCCATAACATCCTGCTTTTTTATTTTTGGTTTTCATTCCTTCTCTTATTCCTTTATTCATTTTAAATATGCTTAGTTTATAGACTGTTTTAGATAATTGTTATTTCTGGTTGTTGGGATGATAGATGTTCTCTTTGTTGGATCTACTGACTCCCCTCATGATAGTTCATTTCCTCATGGTTTTAAAGTTTTTATTAAGAGCTCATCTTCATGGGAGTTGTTTTATCTGTGGGAGTCTACGTACTATGGGATTCAGAAGGGTCTCTATTGAGCAATTTTACATTTGCTTTTTCTGGGGTACCAGAGCTTTTATTGGTTTTAGGCTAGTTATTATTATTAATTTTCCAGCTTAGGATTCCAACACCAGATGGTAGTATAAATTTGGACCACATACGTGGCCCCTTGTACTCAGTGCAGGCTTGGTATTTTGATTTTTTGCCAGAATCATTTCTTTTTTCTATCCACAACCCTACATATAAGGCATGTTTTCTTGCTCCTTCTCCATGCTGTTAAGTGGAGTTTTTCTAATTTGTCTTTCATGGAAAAGACAGTCTTTTGAAGATTCTGTTAGATGTAAGTTGGACCTTCTCATTCTATCCTCCATGTCTCATAACCTCTCTTTTATATTTTCTAACTCTTTGTCTTTCTGTGTTGTATTCTTGGTAATTTCCTCAGACACCATGTGCCTTGTGATTGTAGGGTCCAGCAGAAGGGACCACAGCCCTTCTTTACTTCCCCACATGCTACAGCCTTGTTTTCCTGGGGTGTTAATGGGTGGTCAGTGAAAACTGAGTTTGTGGTTATAGTAGATAGTGGCAGCTTTTGGTTTTTGTCTTCCCAGCAAGATTTCCAATTCCTCTTTCTCTGGAAACAGACTGTCCCTGTGGCTGCAGGGGTGGGCATGTGATACTGACCTGGCCAATCACAGTACCCCATCCTCTTGGTGACAGTGATTGGCCTGACAGATGGCAACAGAATCCAAGAAGGGTCAATCGGACTCTTTCTCTGAGATTTATGTATTTTGATACCAGGAGAGAGAATCTGTGGCATTACCCTGAAGATGGTAAGCTATGGTCTGGACCCATGGAAAAGGCTTGTGTAGTAGGAGAAAATGAAGCTAATGTGAAAACAGGGGCAGAGATAAGAAATGGAAGGAAAGTGAGGGAGGTCTAAGAATGTTCCGTTCCTGAGGTCCTTGTTTGTGTTGCTCTTCTTTCAACAAATCCCCTTTTCTGCTTAGGCTAGCTTGGATTAGGCATCCATTTCTTGTAATTGAAAGATCCCTCACTGATACAGCAATGATACATTTTAGAAACACTGGAAAAACAGAGAAGATCATTCTTTGACAGAAGGACCCATTATCACTTTAATATGCTAATAAACACTGGGATCCTCCAAGTAGAAGGTCAAGTACGCAGCATTTCCCAAACTTACTTCACACAGAACCCTTTTTTTACTAAGAGTATCTTGTGAGACTAACACTCTGAGAAGCTTGCCTCCTGCTCCACTTCTCCAGAGATTCCAGCCCCAACAGAGCTCCTTCTGGAGGAGGAGGCCAGAGCTCCCTGGGCCTCAGTCTCACCTTCTTGCCTTGGTGCCCACCCAGCTCCATGTGATTAGGGAGGTGCAACTGCTGCCAGGACCAGCTATATGATTGGCACAGCTCAGTGCAAAATGAAAATGTGAGGCCCCTTGTTCAAAAAGGGGAGTCCCTGGGTTGGTGCAAATGGTTAAGTGCTTGACTACTAACTGAGAGGTTGGCAGTTCAATCCCACCCAGAGGCACCTCAGAAGAAAGGCCTGGTGATCTGCTTCTGAAAGGTCACGGCCTTGAAAATCCTATGAAGCACACCTGGTAGCCATAAGTCAGAATCAACTCAATGCCATGTTGTTTGGTTTTTTTTCAAAAACTATTTCAAGACGGTGGCAGCACAGCATGAAACCAAATGTGGGGCTCTTCTAACCCTGGTCGAAGCCTGCCTGCTACAAGTCAATGAAAGCATTCCCTTGTGTGCCCTTCTTTTAAATCTCCTTTTCTCTTGGATAGGGGGTAAGGTGGGAGATGGGGAAAGGAATTGTGTCTGCACTCACTGGCTGGAGATTTGGTTACTTTGTCTAGAGGTTTTAACTTGATTCTCAGGAAATCGGCCATTTCCTTGTCTTCTTCTTGTTCCCTGTGAAGGCAGATGTGAAAGAGAAAGTTCAGTAAACAAGGAAAGCATCAAGGAACCAATGAAATGAGGCAAGGGATTAGTTAGGTGGGCCCATGGGTAGGGTTTTATGGATGGTGTGCATACATGGTTGGGTATTATATGTGTATGTTGTGTTTGATGAACCTGGTCTGAAGCAGAGAGACGGACAAAGGTAAATGCTGACCTGGGGACAAGGTGAGATCCTAGGGCAGGAGCAGGGACCTTACAGAACCCGTTCTCGCTGCTGGGGGCTCAGTGAGCTGGGCAACACCTCTTGACCCTGTGCCTTTAAGCCACCTTAGATACCTGTGCCCCCACAAGGTGGAGGTGCATGGTAGGGCTCTGAGGGAAAGTCCCCTTGGCTTTTCCAAGGCTCACCAGGAGCAAAGTTGGTGAGCCCAGCCTGGCTGAGCTTGGCACGCATATCCTGAGAGGAGCCTCAGAGGACCCAGAGAGTGAAGAGGATGTTGCCCTCAGGGTTGGGAGAGGCCCTGGGAGCCAAGGGACACTGGGCGCCTCTCCTTTGCTCCGGGACGAATATATTCAAGAATCAACATTCACAGCTTTCCCAGCCCTCGCTTCCTCAGGCCTTCAGATCTACACCACAGGCTCACCGTCTTTGTTGTGTCCAGATCAAGGTGACAGGCGTGTCTGCAAATAGGAGACCTTGACCCCTAGGAAAGGGCATTGGGGCCTTTCTTCAAAGAGAGGAGAAAGGCAATGACAAGCCTGGGAAGTGGAAACGGCAGGGGAGGAAGCAGGTCAGTGCAGGGGACAGTTTCTATAGCGAAGGACACAAGTTTCCAGAAGTTGCCTTGAGGCATGGGGAGAAAGCTCAATGAAGAGAACTGGTAAGAAGCTTTGAGATCAAAAGGTCAACAATTACTCTAAGACAAAGATGAGAAAATAAGGGCGCAGGGAAACTATAGAAATGAACGAACAGAATGCAATGAAAGAGAATGCTGACTCATTGTAAAAAATGTAACAAATGTCACTGAACAAACTGTATAGAAATTGTCAAATGGGAATGTAATTTACTGTGTAAACCTTCACCAAAACCACAATAATATATTATTTTTAAAAAAGAAGCTCTGTGGTGTGTTATGTGATGTAACTCCTTCCTCGTCACCTCTTCAAGTGACATTTGCGGAAGACCCACAGGCCTTTGCAAGGCTTTTGGGGGCTGGATTTGAGTTTCTCTTGAATGTGCAATGGAGTTCGTTTGGGTTCAGTGTTCCTGGAGCATTGGCGGGGCTGTGCCTGCTGGGGAAGACTGTGTGCGTGTCTGGGGGCAGACGGGTGTTTTGGGAGGACGCTCAGGGTTGGGTGGCAGTCCTATGGGGGGCCCAAAGCCCACTGACCTTAACCGCTCGACCTCTGCATCGTCCACCAGGAAGTCTCTCTTCTGCACCAGTTTGTGGATCTTCTGGATTAGCTCATCCTCTCTCTGCTTCTGCAGCTTGGTTTTTTCTTTTTCTGCGAAGAAGAAAACATTAACCAAGGAACAGGTGAGTATAATGGTGAAAGCAACGGAGTCTGATGGGCCAGCAGTGAAAGCCTGGCTCTGCCATTTCACGCGCCATGTGAATCCGGGGAAGCAATGTCACCTCTCCAAGCCTCAGTTTCCTCATCTGTAAAATGCATGCAGTAGTCACGCCACCAGGCAGAACCATTATTAACATTTTGGAGTCATCCTTGCAGTCATTTTCTATGCATAATAATACCATTTTAAAAAACCAGGGAACCCAGTGTATATACAATTTGGTATCCTGACTTCTTCTTGTCGTCATTTCCACTTAACGATAAGCTGTGAAGGTTTTTCCATGTCATTCTGCATTCTTCTACACTGTCATTAACATTGGCTCTATAGTTTTCCATTGTATGAATGTACCATGATTTAAAAAAATCAGTTTCCTGTTTGTAAAAAAAAAAAAAAAAAAGAAAGAAATATGGTAATATTAGTAAATGGTTTAGTGTGGAGCCTGGTGGTGGCACACACCCAGTAAATGGTAATGACAGAGCAAGGGGGCTCTGCCACAGGCAGGGGTGAGGAGGGGTGAGGACGGGCTGAGGCAGGGGTGCCAGGAGGGAATTACTCTGCAGTGAGGTAAGCCAATTTGTCAGATGAAAATCATCAACACGAATGACATCCATCTAGTCACAAATACCAAGGGCTAGGATGCTGTCTAAGACCCGGGGTGGCACAAATGGTTTGGACTTGACTGCTAACCTAAAGGCTGGTGGTTCGAACCTACTCAGCAGTACTGTAGAAGAAAAGGCCTGGCGATCTGCTTCCATTAAGATTACAGCCAAGAAAACCCTACGCAGTAGTTCTACTCTGTAACACATAGGGTCGCCATGAGTCAGAATCAACTCAAAAACAACAACAACAACAGGATGTTGTCTTAGTTACCTACTGCTGCTGTAACAGAAATACCGTAAGTGAGTGGCTTTAAAGAACAAATTTATTTTCACACAGTTCTGGAGGTTAAAAGCCTCGGCTGTGTGGATTCCTTACTTATTGGTAGCCACTGGCGTTCTTTGGTTCCTGGTCTGTCTTCCCCCATGTCTTTGTCTCTGTGACTAATCTGTTCTTTTTATAACTCAGAAGTGATTAGATTTAGAACCCACCCTAAATCAAGTATGATCCAATTAACACAACAAAGAAAACTCTATTTCCAAACAGGATCATGTCCACAGATTTAGGGGTTAGGATATCAACACATATTTTGGGGGACACAATTTAATCCATAACAGATGCCAAAGACTAAAGAAAAGAAAAAGCCTGAAGATGCTGATCGAGAGAACCAGGAGGGCTGGAACTTAAGCCCACCTTGGCTCCCTCTGCTCAGACCCTTCAGAAGCGACAAGAATGAGGGCAGCTTATCCGTTCTTCCTGCCTAGGACTGGCATTGAGAATTTCTTCTGGATCTGGAAGCAGAACTAGAGGTGAGGAGAACATAATATTTGGTCAGAAGAGAACATTAGTTTCTCCCATTAACCAGAAGTTCTCAGGAAAGAAGGAAGGTGAGATTTCTAGCCACATTTCCAGAGGCCTAGACCCTGATTTGAATTTTTAGCCTCCAGAACTGTGAGAAAACAAATTTCTGGTCTTTAGAGCCACTCACGTGGTATTTTTTGTTATGGCAGCACTAGGGAACTAAGACAGGGGCCCACGCTAGGCCCGTCCGAGCCTCCAAGGAAGTTGAAATCAGGACACTGAGGCCCTGTGTGTTGGACTCATGCATGGGGTGGTCATGGAAGGCAGGTGGAGTGGCCTTGCTTGACTCATGGGCTAGAGAGACAGAAATGGACAGAACACCAGAGGGAGGAGAGAAAGAGAAAGGAAAGCAAGAGCACGTGCACATGTGTGAGCGCCAAAGACATTCTCAGCTTTCCAATGTCAGGTTCCAGACCCTTGTAAGGCTGGGCCGACCTTCATGCCCTAGGGCTCCTGGAGACTCCTTTGTCTTTCCAGTAATTGCCCCTTGGATGGGGTTCTGTACCTTTCAATCAAACGATCCTTCAGAGGGCTTTAGAATGAGAGCTGAACCGGCCCAGTGGTTCTCAAGCCAGGCTGCACATCGGAATCATGCAGGAAGCTTTAAAAAATACCAATGCCAGGGCCGCCTGCCAGGTCAACTGAATCATTACTAACATTTATTGAACTCTTATTTTGGGCCAGATATCAAACTAAGCACTTGGCTTGCATTGTGTCATTTATCACAATGCGATTTATACCCAATGAGTTAGGTACTGCTGCCACCTCATTTCCCAAGGAAGAGAACTGAGTCTCAGAGAAGTGAAGTGACTTGCACAAAGTCCCACAGCCAGGAAGTGGCAGAACCAAGACTTGAAACCAGGTCTGCCTAACTCAAAGTTGTGTTTGAACCATGCAGTCCGGGAGTGTTGCATTGCAAATGTGAGACCCCAAAGACAGAAGATGAACTCTGTCGTCCAGACTCAAGGGGGACAGACAGGGCAGGCTGGGGGCTCCGAGACAGTGCTTAACACAAGGCGTAGTCATGAATGGTTACCTGGGATGGCAACCAAGTTCTGCAGCTCCTGCTTCAGGTCCATGATGTCCTTGCAGAGCTGGATGTCATCCATCCTGGGGAAACAGGGACACCACGCAACACCAAGTTACATTGACAGAACATGCTACACCCTAGAACCACCCCATTTAAACAAAGAGTATTCTGTAAAGAGCATGCAACAGCCCAACGTGCTCATTATAGAAGTTTTTTTAAAATTGTGCTTTAGGTGAAAGTTTACAACTCAAGTTAATTTCTCATACAAAAATTCATACACATACTGTTTTGTGACATTGGTTGCAATTCCCACAATGTGACAGCACACTCTCCCTTTCCACCCTGGGTCCCTGTGTCCATTCAACCAGTTCCTGTCCCTTCCTGCCCTCTCATCCTGCCTCCAGACAGAAGCTGCCCATTTGGTCTCCTGTACCTGATTGAACTAAGAAGCACACTCCTCACATGTATTATTTTTTGTTTTATAATCTTATCTAATCTTTGTCTGAATAGTGGGCTTTGAGAATGGTCTCATTTCTGGGTTAACAGAGCGTCCAGGGGGCTGTAGTTTCAGGGGTTCCTCCAGTCTCAGTAAGACCATTAAGTTTGGTCTTTTTACATGAATTTGAGTTCTGCTCCACACTTTTCTCCCGCTCCATCAGGAAGTCTCTGTTGTGTTCCCTGTCATGGTGGTCACTGGTGGTAGCTGGGCACCGTCTAGTTCTTCTGGTCTCAGGCTGGTGGAGTCTCTGGTTTATGTGGTCCTTTAGTCTCTTGGGCTAATATTTTCCTTGTGTCTTTCGTGTTCTTTATTCTCCTTTGCTCCAGGTGGGTTGGGATCAATTGATGCATCTTAGATGGTCGCTCGCAAGCTTTTAAGACCCCAGACGCCACTCACCAAAGTGGGATGCAGAACATTTTCTTAATAAACTTTGTTATGCCAATTGACCTAGTGTCTCCTGAAACTATGGTCCCCAGGCCCCAGCCCCAGCTACTGTGTCCCTCAAAGTGTTTGGATGTGTCCAGGAAACTTCTTAGCTTTTGCTTTGGTCCAGTTGTGCTGACATCCCCTGTATTGTGTGTTGTCCTTCCCTTCACTGAAGTTGATCTTTGTCTACTATCTAGTTATTGAATCTCCCTCCCCGTCCCTCACCACCCTCGTAACCATCAAAGAATGCTTTTTTCTGTGTTTAAACCTTTTCTTGAGTTCTTAAAACAGTGGTCTCATACAACATTTGTCCTTTCGTGACTAATTTCACTCAGCATAATGCACTCCAGATTCATCCATGTTGTGAGATGTTTCCCAGATTCGTCATTGTTCTTGATTGTTGTATAGTATTCCACTGTGTGTATGTACCATTATGTGTGTATGTGCTCATTATTGAAGTTTAAAAAAACAAAACAAAACAAAAAACACCCTTTATCCCACTACTTAGAAATGATCAATCACTGTTAATAGTGATGTAGTTTCTTCTAGTGTCCACACGCTCAACTTTTGTTTGCTTATATAGGCAAGCTCACGGTGCATATTCTGTTTTGTTCTTTTTTCAGTTTATGAGAGTAACCAATACATGTTGAAACTTAAAACATTACATAGATAGACTAGTCTATAGGACAGATAGTCTACACGAACAGATAGTCTACACGAACCACAGCCTTATCTACCCTGAGATCAGAAGAACTAGATGGTGCCTGATTACCACTACCAACCGTTCTCATCAGGGCCACAACAGATCGAAAAAGGAACAGAACCTCAGATTCCAAAAAAAAACCAAACAAACCAAAAACCAGACCTACTGGACTGGTTGAAACTGGAGGACTCCCCAAGTCTACTGCCTTGAGATACTCTTCAAACCTTGAACCGAAACTAACCCCTTAGGTCACCTTGTAGCTAAATAACTGGCTCAAAAAATAATGAATATCACCCATAAGTAGTGTGCTCCTTTAAAAAAATCACCTATGCAAGACAAAACAGTCAACAATCACTTTAAAACAAAGATGAGAATGTAAGGGGGCAGGGAAACTAGATTAATGGAAATGGAACAACCAGAACGGAAATAATGAGACTGTTCATGTACTGTGAAGAATGTAAACAATGACACTGGACAACTTGTGTAGAATTGTTGAATGGGAACCTAAACTACTGTGTAAACCTTCACTGAAAACACAATAAAATATTATTTTAAAAAATAAATTTAAAAAAATTTACATAAAGTCTCCTTCAGTCCCTCCCCTTAGATAACTACTGTCAACAGTTCAGTGTCTGTTCTTTCAGATTTTAAAAGATGTTCATGTTTATACTAACATACATGATATAATTGCTATTGTACAAACATATTTTTGAACCAGTTGCCATCAAGCCCACCCCGACTCATGTCAACCCCTCGTGTGTCAGAGTAGAACTGTGCTCCGTAGGGTTTTTTCAGTGATTAATTCTATTCCAGAAGTAGATTGGTAGTCCTTTCTTCTGAGGCGCCACTGGGTGAACTTGAACCTCCAACCCTTCAGTTAGCAGCCGAGAGTGTTAACTGTTCGTACCACCTAGGGACTCTTAAACATATTTTGCAACTTGCTTTTATCACTTAATAATATACCTTGGGCATCCTTCCATGTCAGTACATGCAAATCTCCACATTTTTAAAAGTGGCGGCGTATTCCATCATATTGATACGTTGTTGTTGTTGTTAGGTGCCATAAGTCGATTCTGATTCATACAGAGATTTATTTAACCAGTCCCCTATACACAGACATCTGGGTTGTTTCCAGATAAATTTCTAGGATAAATTCCTACAAGTGGAATTACTAGGCCAAGTGACATAACACTTACAGTTTAATAGGGATTTTCCTGGGAGAATGTCCACTTCCCACGATCCCAGTAATTAGGTTGTCCATGCAATTTTGCAGTACACATTATAGCTTTGTGTGTGTGCTACAACATTAACTCATCTTATTGTAAACTGTATTTGTAATGGCTGCCTAGAATTTCACCAAATACATTTACTAGAGTTGATTTAACTACACTCTTCTCTTGGGTGGGCTTTTCAGGTTGTTATTGCTGTTTTGGCCACTGTAGGATGAGTAGCAATTCATATAAGGCTTGTTGTTTTTATGCTGGATTATTTGGAGGGGTTATACCTGTTACCCGTTGCCGTCAAGTCAATTCCGACTCATAGCAACCATATAGGACAGGGTAGAACTGCCCCACAGGGTTTCCAAGGAGCGGCTGGTGGATTTGAACTGCTGATCTTTTGGTTAGCCGCCATAGCTCTTAACTACTGCGCCATCAGGGCTCCTTAGAGGGGTTATAGATTCTCAAAAGTGGAACCACTGAGTACAAAGAGTTTGACATGTCTAAGGCTGTTGAGACCTATTTTCAATTCACTTTCCCACAGGGTTGTGCGTGCACATGTGCCTACATTCAATCAGAACCAGTTAGCTTCGTGGTGATTCACTCATGGCAACGTCATGTGTGTCAGAGTAGAACTGTGCTCCATAGGGTTTTCAGTGGCTGATTTTTCAGAAGTAGATCACCAGGACTTTCTTCTGAGGCACCCCTGGGTAGACTCAAGCCTGCAAACTTTTGGTTAACAGCCAAGTGCATTAACCATTTGCACCACCCAGGTCTCCTGTGCGTGCATTCAGTATGTGTTTATCAAGCATCTCCCAAACCAGCCACTGTTCTAGGCTCTGAGGATGCAGCATCGAGCAAAACCAAGCCCCTGCTCTCATGAAGCCAACATTTTGTTGGGGGGAGACAGAGAGTAAAGAAAACACAATGGAGCAGCGTCAGGTGCTGTAAGAAGAGTAAAGCAGGTACTCGAAGAATGTAATCAATGCCACTAAATGGTACATGTAGAAACTGTTGAGTTGGTGTATGTTTTGCTGTGTATATTCTCAACCACTACAACAACCACAAAAAAGAGTAAAGCAGGTGAGGGGATGGAGAAGGGACAGTCAGGACACATCACCCGACTCTGCTCCTGACAGCTGTCCTGGGTAGAGACAGAGGCAGTATTCATATTCTCATTTGACTGGCATGCAAAGAGGCAGAGGGACTCGGTCAAGTCCACACAGCCAGTGGGGGCTGGACCAGGACTAGAACCCTGCTCTTCTGAGTCGGACAGTGCTCACCTTTCTGCTTCATCCTGCCTGCCTACTAACTCCTTTCAGCTATGTCACTCACACAGCAGCGTGGGGCCCCCAGCCTTTGCTGGCCAGGAATTACCATGTTCCCTGCATCAATCCCAGCATCCCTGCTTTCAGGACAAGTGGCAGGGATCTCTTGATTCAGCTGGCTTCTCTTGTTGCCAGAGACACGCCACATATTTTTAAAGCCCTGCCCTGGAATGTCCTAGCAGGTGGCAGCTGCCTCAAATGAGCTTGGACTTGCCAGAAGGGCACAAACTATTCCTGGGGGGTTTCTGTTAGTTCACAGAGGGGCGTCGGAATCTGGAGTCCTTTTCCACGATAGAGCAGAGTTCAGGTTACATCAGTGGTTCTCAGTGATTTTGCCCCCAGGGACATCTGGCATTGTCTGGAGACATTTTTGTTATTACAACTGGGAGGGGGAATGTGCCACTGGCATCTAGTGGGTAGAGGACAAGGATGCTGCTAAACATCCTACAATGCACAGGGCAGCCCCTGCAACAAAGAATTATCCAGCCCCAAATGTCGGTAGTGCCAACATTGAGAAATCTTGGGTTATAACCACAGAGTGGACAAAGGTACCTTACTGGTAATTTGCAGAGGTGAGAAACTCATCTAATCCTCACAACTATCCTAAGGGAGAGGTAGTTACTATTTCCATTTTACAGATTGGGAAACGGAGGTTAAGCAATGTGCCTAAAGTCCCACCCTGCTAAATGGCCATTGGGATTCAGCCCTAGCTCATGCTTTTGACCACTTCATTGTGGTGTGTCCTTTCCATGTGGCTACAAGTACAGGGTCAGCGAAAAAGAGGAAGACCCTCAACAAGATGGATTGACACAGTGGCTGCAACAATGGGCTCAAACATAGCAATGATTGTGAGGATGGCGCAGGACTGGGCAGTGTTTCGTTCTGTTGTACATCGGTCACTATGAGT